GTGGTTGATTTTTGAGAAGGTTCCATGTGGTGCTGAGAAGAAGGTATACTCTTTTTTATGTGGATGGAATGTTCTATAGATGTCTGTTAATCCCAATTGGGTCATAACTTTTATTAGGTTCTTCGTATCCTTGTTAAGTTTCTATCTTGTGGTCCTGTCTAGTGGTGAGAGTGGGGTGTTGAAGTCTCTCACTATAAGTGTGTGGGGCTTTATATGTGATTTAAGTTTTAGTAATGTTTCTTTTATGAACATGGATGCCTTTGTATTTGGGGCATAGATGTTCAGACTTGAAACTTCATCTTGGTGGATTTTGCCTGTGAGTATGTAATGACCTCCTTTATCTCTTTTGATTTTTATTTTAAAGTCTAATTTGTTAGATATTAGGATTGCTACTCCTACTTGTTTCTTGGGTCCATTTGATTGGAAAATCTTTTCCCAACCTTTAACTCTCAGGTAATGTCTGTCTTTGAGGGTGAGGTGTATTTCTTGTATGCAGCAGAAGGATGGGTTCTGTCTTCGAATCCATTCTGTTAGCCTGTGTCTTTTTATGGGTGAGTTAAGGCCATTAATATTGAGGGATATTAATGATGATTGATTGTTCATTCTTCTTTGATTTGGAATGGTTGTTGTTGGTGGAATCATGTGTGGAATTCCACCCCTTTGTTCTTTAGGTTGTTGGTAAAGTGTGATTCTATAATGTCTGTTTTTCTGGTTGTAGTTAACTTCCTTTGATTGGAGTTTTCCTTTCTGTAGGGGCTGGGTTAGTGGATATGTATTGCTTGAATCTAGTTTTGTCATGGAATATCTTGTTTTCTCCATCTTTAGTGATTGAGAGCTTTGGCGGGTATAGTAGTCTGGGCTGGCATCCATGATCTCTTAGTGTTGGTAGAATATCTATCCAGCACCTTCTGGCTTTCAGAGTTTCCATGGAGAAGTCAGGTGTAATTCTGATAGGTTTGCCTTTTTATGTTACTTGGCCTTTTTCCTTAGCTGCTCTTAATATTCTTTCTTTATTCTGTATATTTGGTGTTTTATTATGTGGTGAGGGGACTTTTTTTTGTGGTCCACTCTATTTGGTGTTCTGTAAGCTTCTTGTACCTTCATTGGCATGTCTTTCTTTAGGTTGGGAAAGCTTTCTTCTATGATTTTGTTGAATATGTTTTCTGCTCTTTTGAGGTGGTTTTCTTTACCTTCTTCTATATCTATTATTCTTAGGTTTGGTCTTTTCATGGTGTCCCATATTTCTTGGATGTTTTGTGTTAGGGATTATTGGACTTAAGATTTTCTTTGGTTGATGAATCCATTTCTCCTAGTGTATCTTCAACACCTGAGATTCTCTCTTCCATCTCTTGTATTCTGTTGGTAATGCTTGTATCTGTAGTACCTGACTGTTTGCCCAGCTTTTCTATTTCCAGCCTTCCTTTAGATTCTGTTCTTTTATTGTCTTTATTTTAGTTTCAACCCTTGCACTGTTTGAATTGTTTCTTGGAATTTTTAGTTTGTTTTTTCTTCCATTCCTCTGAGGGATTTTACTATATCCTCTTTTAGGGCCTCTCATTTTCATGAAGTTGTTTTTAGGTCACTCTCTTCTGTTTCATTTGCATTGGAATGTTGGAGCCTTGTTGGTGTGGAGTCTCTAGAATCTGGCGGTGTCATATTTGTTTTTTTGTTGCTGAGTGTGTTTTTGTTTTGTCTCTTTGCCATCTCTTCTTCTAGTGGGTGCAGAAACAGCCCCTTACTGGTCTGGTGGTTAGGGGACCAGAGTTCCCTTTTGGTGGGTGCAAGCAAGTCCAATACTCTGGTAGTTCTTCTATTCCTCGTCCTAGTTCTGGTCCCATGGGTGGAGAAGACGACCACGAATATGGGGTGTGTAGTTTCCCACCTGGTCCCCTGGTCTCGTTGGTGGAAGAGGGGATCTGGGGTGCTTGGCTCCCTCTGGGATGGAAACCTCTGTGGCAGTTCCCAGGCAATCCCCAGGCACTGGAATGCAGGCCTGGATGCAGGGCCTGTTTTACCTGGTCCTGCCACCAGACCCACTGGTCCCCTGGTTTCGTTGGAAGAGAAGACCTGGGATCTCTCTGCTGTATTTTTTATTTGCCTGTTTGTCTTCTAATGAGACTCACAGAAGCATGGAATGGGAGGTGGGGAGGAGATGAGGAGCGAAACAATGTCCAGAAGATGTTTAATGAAAAAATTCATTTTCAGTAAAAAACACAAGGAAAATTCTTTTTTTCTTTCTTAGCAGATAATTGACACTACACTAAACATCCTAATCACTCTTCTGCTAGAACCCCAGCTTTTAAAGTTACATTACTAAGTCATCAAGTCAGGAAGGAGAATCAAAGGCCAAAGTGAGAGCCAGGGAGGTGAGTGGACACATATGTCATTAGCTTGGCTATGTTGGTCTTCAAGGAGTTTGAGACTGGGGTCTGCTTTACAAGGGCAACCTGACTATCCTCCTGTCCTACCAGAGAGCTTCACTCTTCGTGTCTTAGTGAATTTCAGTGTGACATCCTAGAACCCACTGTCTCGGGAAGCTTTGTCTTGGTGAATTTCAGTGTGACATTCTAGAACCCCACTGTCTTGGGAAGCATTTTGCAGGCAGTCACCATCTCTCTCATCCTAAGGAGATGACCAGCTCAAGACTTTGGTATACATCATTTCTGGGAATCCCAAGTGCACTGTTGTCCTTAGGCTGATCTGAAATTCATAACTCCTGACCGTGTGGAAACCTTCAAGCTGAAAACGGCATGTTGTACTATAGGCTGCTCTGCCTCTGGGAGAAATAAATGAAAAGATTCATTGGAGAAGGCTATCTTCATGAGGCAAGAGTTCTAAGACACACATCAAAAATGCATACACATGCTAGAAAATGAGACCTAATGAGTGAGAACTAATGGAAGTTTCAGAAAATGTATCAGAATTATTAGACATATAACGTGAAATGGGGGAAAGGTTCAATATTTAGGAGTAAAGATCAAGGAGCTTAAACACACACACACACACACACACACACACACCAATGACCAAGCAGTAGATATGTTAAGTATACCAGGTAGAATGTACAGGAATAAAACTAAAAACTCAGCGGATGAAAGAATTGCATACACCTAGAGAGGTTCTAAGAGAAAACTTACAGTGCACAGGAAAGGAAAGGGACTGGGCTGGGCATGGTGGTACATGCTGACAATGCCAGCACTTACGAATTTAAGTGTATAGTCAGTCTGTACCATACAGCAAGGTTCTGTACTGTTTTGATTTTTTGAGACAGGGTTTCCTCTATGTAGCCCTGGCCGTCCTGAACTCACTCTGTAGACCAGGCTGACCTTGAACTCACAGAGATCTGCCTGCCTCTGCCTCTGGAGTGCTGGGATTAAAAGCGTGCACCATCATTGCCTGGCAAGACTCTGTCTTTAAAAACCCAAAGGCTGGTGGTAGAGCACTTTTCTCACATGCAGATAGTAATGGGCTCAACCTTTTCACCGCAGAAAAAGTGCTAAAAATTAGTGCTAAGCACTCAACTTTAAAAGTTAGAAATGGTCTCTCAAGAGAACGTATCAGTTAATTTGGAGGCACCAAACAATTGGCTCATGGGCTGCACTATAAACAGTGCAGAACAGCAGCTCTCTCCGTTCCGACATCTGTAAAATAAGTGCAACTGCAGCTCTCCTCTCTGCAGGGCTTAAATATAAAATATTACATTTTTTAAAAGGGTCTAAAGGACCAAGGGGATAAAAAGGACAAAGCTGGGGTCTTGATTTGTTTTCTGCTCTGGTTAATTAAAACATCTCGCGTGAAGACAGTGGTTAAGGTAGACCAGTGGGAAGGACAGAGTACAGGAGGCGACTTTCCAGAGAAGGCACCTGGTTTACAATGCTGTGAAAGGCCAGCTAATGCTGGGACAGGTGTGACCACTCCATCCACACGGAGGAAAAAGTAAATGACCCCTACCTCATATCATGACCTCCACATAAACCTCTACAAGAACTACATGAAAACCCAACTTTTGAAGGAATTCAAAGAGAATACAGGACCATAGCAGACGCAGCAAATGGCTAACACCATTTTCACCAAAGATGTGATAATCAAAGGCACAGTGAGATGCTGTTAGGAAGGCTCCCTGACAAAGTCAACGAATGGAGACCCGAGACCCATCCTGTTGGTGGGTGTGCAAAACGGTACAGGTGCTATGGAGATGGAATGGGGAGTGGGCCCTAAAACATTAACAGAGGGATTATTCAATCTAGAATTCAGACGCTTCGCCAAAAGAATTGAAATTGGAATCACAAAGAGCTAAACTCCTAGGGACTGGTCCCTGTAGCACCAGTCACAGGAAGGAAGATGTGGAAACAGTTCCCAGAAGATAAGCAAGGAAAGTGTGAGACATGCAAAAGAATGTGTGTGTGTGCTCCAACATGGCTGCAATGTGGGTGGACCTGAAGTAAACTATTCTATTGCATGACTCCACTTATATCACAAAATAGTCAAATTCATAGACTCAATGGGTATGGAGGTTGTATGGGCAGTGAAAAGGTGAAGTAGGGAGTTACCAGTCAGCAGGAATACAGTTTCTGTCAGGCAAGATGGACATGCTGTAGAGATCTGGGGTGTAGTGCTGGATATACGGTCCCAACAACATGTGTGGTGTGCTTAAAATTGGGGGAGGAGGAGAGGTCAATTATGTGTTAAGAGGAAGGGCAAGGACAGGATCCAGGAGGACTGTTTTCATTCTCTCAGGGGTTAGAAGGATTTCTTAAAGTTGACCCAGCACGAAATACGAAACATGAAAGCGTGATAAACTCTCCTTCCTGCTTTAAAACAAGCACACAAAAAAGACGAAACTCAGAACAGAGAAGTCATTTGTAAAGCATAGAAACAGTGATTACAGCACGAGAGTAAAATGGACACCAAGCTGAACCACACTAAATCAAGTGAGAGAAGCCTGGGAGCTCTGTTGTTAAAAACAAAAGCAACTCACAGTAGCCCCAGTGGGGACTTACCATCTTCACTGGTGTGGGGCTCTGTGCCGGCATCTTGGTCCACTTCCTCCAACGTGCCGTGCTCACTGTACGGGCTGTCGCTGTTGGGTGAAAATGAGTATGAAACCAAAGGGCACTGTTTTCTAAATGAGTAATTACGACAGCAAGGGAAACACAAGGCTTCTAGTGCAGACACATTCCTGGACACTCCAGGCCCAGAACGTCAGAGCCTCCGATGGTTATCTGGTTCTGTGGATGTGCATACGGACACGCTTCAGTATGATAGTTACAGTGACAGCACCAGAGTCAGTGAGCTCTAGGAGTACCTAAGAGACTGGGTCTGGGCAGGCCTGTGAGGGATGCCTTGGTTATAGTTCAAGTGGGAAGACCCACCCTAAGAGTGGGGTGCCGGATGGAAGAAGAGGAGGAAGAGAGCTGCTTTAAGGCACGAAGACCTTGCCCTCTGCTTCCTGGGTGCTGATGTGTTCTGACCAGCTGCCTTACCTGGAACTGTGCCCCTGCTGCCATGATGGCCTGCACCCCGGAACTGTCCCTCTAGTGTTTCCTCCCTTAGTTTTTGAAACGAGGTCTAACTGAGCCTGGAGCTCACTGTTTGGAGAGGCAGGATAGCCAGTGAGCTTCCAGCAGCTTCCTGCCTCTACGCCTCAGTGCTGGAGTTACGGACACACCATTGTACCTAACCTTGATGTGCTGGGGGTCTGAACTCAGGTCCTCACGATTCAGCAGCCAGCACCTTAAAGTCCCTGGTCCACCACCCAGTCCTCAGCTGTGTGTCCCCAAGAGGGAGGGCTCTGTCCTTGGACTCACCAGTAGTCGCCTCCAGCCATGCATTTCTCATAGACGGGGCCATCCAGCTCTTTAGCATCGGGAAAAATAGCCTCATGGTGGATGATGATGGTCTTTACGATTTCGTTCACATGTGCCTGGCAAGACACTTGGTCCTGTATCTCTGGAACTGGCATCAGTGTTGGGCCAAAGCAAATGGCCAGATTATAAGGGTCCATCATGTTCTCGTCACTGTATTGGGAAAGACTGTAAAAGGAAGCAAGGAAGAACTTGTAAAGAGGGGTTTGGGGAAAGAAAATGCTCAACAGGATACTTCATATTTTACTAGAAAAGTGTGTGTGTGCATGCGCGTGAGTGTATGTGTGTGTACACATTTGTGTGTGTGTACACATGAGGGCACAGGTGCCCCTATGAAGGGCATAGGACATGTGAAGTCCCCTGAGTTACAGGTGGCTGTGAGTCACCTGATGTGGGTGCTGGGATTTGAACTCATATCCTATGGAAGAGTAGCACATACTCAGGATGGAGCCATCTCTTCAGCACCCTTACCTTGTATTTTAAAAACATGGATTAAACAACTTTTTTTGTCATCATTAGAGGAAATACAATATTCCATCCCACTCCACTGAACACCAAACAGTAAGACAGCTACGATAGACTACATAGGAAATGAGGGGCACGTACATCCTCTTTGTGTGAGTGAGAGGCGCTTTCTAAAGTCCTGAGTTTAAAACAACATCAACTGTAATGGAGATAAGGACCAAGATGAGTTTCACTGGTAAATAGCAAGCTGGAGGCTCCTAAGTTGGCCCAGCTCAAGTCAGTCTGGGCTGTGCAGTACAATTTCCATAAAGTCTTGCGATTATATCTTTACATTTGCCCTGCCACTCAAAGGAATCTTAGTTTTCAACTCCCCCCCCTTATAAATCTTGAAAACCAAACCAAACCAACCCAAATCTAGAATAAAAGCAAAGCATCTTTTTTTCCGAGGAGGCGAAGAATAGCTGTGGGTTAATAGCCTACTACTGTGCGTCTACACCCCTAGGTACCAACTCACACCACAAGACACTGAAAGATGTAAGACAAAGGGGCAGATCCTTAATTCTCTTATTGTTCCATCTAAGGTGGGAAAACTCTGGGAACGTTGCTGGCTGTCCGCAACTAATTTCTAACCGATATTTGTGATATTTTTATGAAATATTAAAGCTATTTCACAGGCGACTCTCGGCCAGCCAGCTCTTTAATGCCTGGCCACTAACACACAGGGAATTTGCAATTCTTTGGAAAGTTGGGAGGCATTATCTCTCAGTGTATAGAATGTCAGCCACAAAAGGAAATGTAAAATGCGGGGGAGCAGATGCCAAGTGGAGGGAGACAAGGGAGACTCACTGCCTTTGTGACACAGTCACAGACACAATGCACCGAGATACCGCCTGACGTGGTACTTTAGCCTTTAGCGGAGATAAGACAGTGCACAGAGCGGGAGATGCAGAGAATGAGCTCTACAGCTACCATATGTCCTTACCTTCAGCCATTTCTCAAATAGACAATCAAAAAAAAAGAAGAAAAAAAAGCTGCGCATTGCTGACAGGCGACAGATCGCCCTGAAACCTGGGGTCAGGGGAAGAAGCAAGATTCCAATTTTCAAAACTCACACCTGAGCTCAGTGGGAAGAGTCAGGTTTAGTCCTCCCAGGTCTATATTTTAGTCCTGGCTTGAATAAAAACTATGGTGGTGGTTTTTTTTTTTTTAATTTTATAGGAGAAAAGAACAGCTAATCCCTTTTCCAGGATTCCGAAGTCAAGCATCCCAGGCTGAGGTGGTGTCAGTGTCTGGGCAGGGCGGGGCAGGGTGGGGCTGTGCTCATCTTTCTTTGCAGGCAAGTGCAGGCTCCTGTGGGCAGAACCGATGAACACAGTGCCAGCTGCCTGACTCGTAAGGTGCTTGCCATTCACTTGAGCTTTGCCAAGAGTTATTTTAAGGCCTGGAGAGCTCTCTTGGTTGCAACACTGCTTTCCTAGGCCATTGTGGGTCACTAGTTCACAGTGGGTTTTGCTTTGGAGTCTCAGAAAAGCTGAAGAGCACTGCTGTCCCAGTGGTGTCTGGGAAGGGGAAGCATGCATTTTTTTTTCAAGATGATCCTGGGTTCTGACAGCTGCTTGGGTGACCAGACTTAGTCAAAGGTACCCACAGGCAGCATCTGTCTGTTTACAGTAGACACAGTACATATCTTTTTCTTTCTTTAGGTAGAACTTCTGTCCAAACGGCCTCCTACTGTCCTTTGGGAATGTTTTAGGCACCCTAGGGTGAGCTGTAGAGCCCTTCTCTGTTCTCCCTGTATGCATTTCCCTAGTGTATGCTTCTTGGCCTCTTGTGGCCAAGCTGAGTGGGTTTGCTTTTAGAGTTAGGCAGCAGGGTGTCATGAGTTTCCATGCTGTTTCTGTCAGTGAAAGACAGGTGAAAAGCTATCCTCATTTGAGGGGAGAGCCAGAATGAGAAGGCACGTCCCTCTGTTCATTCTAGCAGTTGATTCTCTGGAATTGGGGACTTCTAATTGATTAACTGAAATGTGACAAAGAAAGACGACTTTGGGATGGGACCTGAAGGAGACATGCCTACAAGGGAACCTGCTCACCAGCGAGCAAGTTGCCCCGATCAAGAATTAAGTTCCCCTCAAGATTCCTGTTTCATCATAGTAGTGACTGCAAGACAAGTATTTTCTTCTTGACAAGGTCTCGTTACGGTGAATTTGTGGAAATTCTGCTTTTGGACTGATGTCTAAGTCATCTACAATCCCCCTCCACCCACTACTACAATATTAAAAAAATGACAGATTTCTTTTGCTAGGAGAAGGTGGTTTATATCATTTTGACAAAAACATTTATGACATGAGCTCTGGATGGAAGTTGGAAAAAAAAACCAGGTTTCATTACAAAGTGTTATTTATAGCAGCATTCTGGATATTTTGCATTTACAGCCAGCCAGTTTCTCCAGACTTTTCATGTATCATAAAAAGACCTTGATCTCAGGGTTAGCTCTTGAATCCCAGACTGATGGCTGGGAATCCAGCATGGGACTGATCAAGACCTCCTGAATGTGGGTGTCAGTGAGGAGGTCTAGGCAATCTATTGGGCCTTGGGTAGTAGATCAGTATTTATCTCTGGCATACAAATGGACTTTGGGTGCCCATCCAAAAATGAGAGAAGCACTCTCAGCCTGGACTCTTGGGGGAGGGTCTAGGCCCTGCCCTGGATGAAATGACAGACTATGGACACCCCCATGGAGGGCCTCATCCTCCCTGGGGAAATGAGGGAGTATTGGGGGGGGGGGTTGGTAGGAGGGCAGGGGAAGAGGGGAGGGAAACGGAGAGGGACCTGGAACTGACTTGTGAAGCAACTTTGTTTCTAACAAATTTAAATAATAATAAAAAAAGACCTTGATCTCTTGAGGTAAAAATGTTCCCTTAGCTTCCATTCAATCACTCCCCCCTTGTCTCCACTGGTGAATGGAACTCAATGCACATTTTATAGCATTCAAGAACATGGACAGAAAGAATGCTGATGGGCATGTTGACAGAGCACGGGGTACTTACTGATTCAGAAAGGCAAACAGATACCTCATCACTATGAGGACCGACCTGGGCAGGGTCAAGAGGAGTTTACGGATGTGAAGCGCCCTCTCATAGAGATTATCTATTCCTGCAGGACAGAAGAGGACACGGTCAGAGTCCCTCAGGTCACGTTAGAGCACATCACTGCAGCACACCTTACAGGGACACACCCAAAGAGGAGCAACGCCTTGCAGCACACCTTACAGGGACACACCCAAAGAGGAGTAACGCCTTGGCCATGGCAGGAAGCAGTCACTTGTGTATGCCACCATCTCCAAGGGTGGTGTTTCCCCCGACCGATCAGCATTCACTGTTTTCCCTGAATTTACTTGCACACTGTCCTTACCTGCCTTTCTCCTTTCTCTACCTAATTTTCCAAACGATTTCATGTGACTCTGATGACTCCAAACTCAAAATCCTCTGGTCTTTGCTTCACAAGTGTTGGAGTAATGGGTTTGTACCACACTGGCTTGTTTTATGCGATGGCCATGGTCTTGAGTAATTTAGATTTTTTTTACATTTAGAAACCATTTCTCTCCCTTGTTGTGAGCGCTATATTTTGCTGCTCAAATGGTCCCAAGTGGCTTCTTGCTGTTTGTGAACTAAGCCAGATTTCTGGGATATAGCAATATCAATACAATCTGTCTATCTGCCTATCTATCCATCAATATGTATTAACATACATATCTGTATATAAATACATATATATCTTTATAGATATAAATACACACATATATATTGATAGATGAATAGATACTTTGATGTATCAATAATACATATATCTATATATGACAATACATATCTACTTATAGATATATATACATACACACATATTAATGTCTATCCATCTATCAATATCAACATACATATATATTGATATGTAGAAATATACACACAAACATGTATTAATGTATCTATCCATCAATATGTGTATCAGTACACATATTTATTCATAGATGTACTCAAATACAAGCACACATTAATGTATCTATCTTTTATCTATCCATCTCTCATATGTATCAAGACATATATATCAATACACATATCTACATATACACATACACATATCTACAATACACATATCTACATACACACATATATTAATGTATCTATCCATCCATAAATATATACATATCTATATGTAGATATACATGCACATATCAATGTATCCCTTCAGGCTGTTTCCCTCTTCTTCTTGATAGTGGCCACCTCTGTCAGTCTCAAGGCTATGATCATCAGTTCTAACATGGTGACCTTCCCCACTCCCTGCTTTACTCTGTCTCTGGTGGTTTCATCCCTGATGACCTCACTGCTCATTTCCTTTGTAAGTTTCACCATTTCTCACTTGGATGACTGTGATTCTCTCCTACCTAGTTCCTCTTTTGAATTAATTTGTGGTGATCAACCTTGACTTGGGGTCACATGTGGGAGGCAGTGGTTTCAAAATCACTGGGATTCTTCTGTGTAGTCAAGGTTGGATACTGTGGCCCTAATTACTTATACCAAGCTCGTTTTCCTGGAATTCTGAGTGCTGACTCTAGCTACTTTCTATCCATTAACAAAGTGGGCATTTTGATTTACCCTCCATGCAGCTGAAAAGGTATGAAGAATATACAAATATTTTTGCTCAACCACAAATGAGTCTGTTGCACAGCACATAATTTATCAGGGTGAGCAGGAACTAACACTTCCGCTCCATCACTGAGGATGCCACAGCTGGAAGTGAAGCCTGCTATCTCCCAGAAAACAGGAGTTCAGAAACCCTCTACCTGGAATGTGAAAATATCATATGATTACCATTCCTATAACATTTTTATTCCTTTAACCCAAACCAGTAACCAATTAGTATGAGTGTAGTTATCATGAATTGGATATGGATATTTTACTTTCTGATTTGTAATGTATTCTGAGATGGAAAAAGAATCCACCATGAATTTAGGGTTGGGGGAGGCAACATCTACTGAATATAAATACAAATTTATTGTCCAAGCAGTAGTCTTGGTTATTTCTTACTTATTATTTTTAGGTTTTCTGCAGGTTTATAAATTCAGGCCACAAGAGTGCAATAATTAAGTTGTCAGTATTACCACTCAGTGTAGTTCACGTTGGACCAGAGCAGAAGCCTGGAATAGGCAGTTTACCTTCGACAACAACCTGGAACTACACTGGATGGAGAAGGAAGATGGAATAACATGAGGCAGTCTGCAAGTCACGGAGACTCTAAGTGGGGAGCTGGGTATCCAGAACACTACCCATGCCGCAGGGTTTTTTATGCCAAGGATCAGCTGAAGGTTTATTAACTGAGCGGCTAACTTTAAAGAGTCTAGGTTGTTGCTGTTTTCTGTTAAAAAGAACACCCCACTCCCAGAGGTAAATTATATACATTATGCTCCATTCTTAAAAATTAACTTTGAGGACTGGAGAGGCAGCTCAGCAGTTTGAGAGCTCTTACAGAGGGCCCAGGTTCTAGGAGATCTGATGTCCATTTCTGGCCTCTCTGGGCTTCTGTATGCAGGTGGTGTACATAAACTTACGTAGGCACATACATATACACATACATAACAAAAATCAACCGGAAATTTAGTAGCACTACCCCACTACCCATTAGAAAACTTGATTAAATGACTTTATGGTTATGCTCTACAGAAAACAGTAACAAAGTTTACTACACCCATGGAGATAATACATTGTAAAGATAAACTGTCTCACTACTGTTCCCAGATTGGCAGTGACCTCTGCTCTCTGCTGGTTACATATAAAGGCACTTACAGTTTCTAATGAAATAAAAAAAGTGCTACTTTTAATTGAGGATTTTGGGGACTACAAGATAAATATTTTTGAGTCTCTCAGCTAATTCTCCTTTTAACATTAAGGTTGAGCATACAGGACAGAAATTTAGCAACCTAAAGTGAAGTTTGGGGTCTTTAGATCTCAGAACAAAAGGTCAAAAAGGAAATGACACAAAATGCTGTCACTGTGTAACAGCCTTGGCTGTCCTGGAACTCACTCTGTAGACCAGTCTTGAACTCAGAGAGCTGCCTGCCTTTGCCTCCTGAGTGCTGTGATTAAAGGCATGTGCTGCTGCCACCACTGCCTGGGTTGTATAATAATGTCTTAATGTCTGTCACATCTTGTAAAGGGAGTGTCACTTCAGAGATGAAGCAAGGAGAGGTGACAATCTCCAGCAGCGTTAGTTTAGTCTGATAAGAACCTCTTAATCTCTGTGTTCTAACCTCTGTCTCTCTTATCCTTGGAGGAAGTTTCAAAATGTACATGAAATTTGTAGCAACATTCTCCAAAGTGGGAGCAACCCAGATATTGGTAGACAGACAAATGGATAAGCATATTGTGGTATATAGACAGGCATTGAAATATCATTCAGTCATAAAGGAGGAAGGTTATTCTGTGGATGAACCATGAGGACGCCACTCTAAGCAAAGCGAGCCACACACAAAGGGACAATTACTACATGATACCATCTATATGAGGCACCTATACAAGGCCAAGTACTAGAGCAGAGCTGATGGGCCTAGGGGGAAGAGAAGAAGGGATAGGCTACTGTTTGATGGCTATCAAGTTTCTGTTTGGGAAGAAGAAAACATTCTAGAAATAAACAAGACAACGGAGTCACAGTGCTGTGAACACATAGGACTTTACCACGCACCCAAAGATGGTGCATTTTGTCATGCATTTCACCACAGAAGAACTGGGGAGCCCATGGGGTGCAAATGCAAAGTTTAGGTGTGAACAGCAATGGCGGCTAAAGAGAGACTGCAAAAAGATGACAATTGATCATATCACACGAACGTACGATGCCTGCAACTACAGGTACAGATACATCAGAGTGAGAGAGGGCATTGTTGGCGCTCTGGAAGCTGCTGCAAATTCATCTGCATCCAGGCCTCAGTCCTACAACGGACGTCTAGATGTTTCCTGGTGGGCTGCACAGGAGGCTTGTATGCACAGTCTCCAGGACCTCAGCTCTGCTGCAAGCAGCCCACTTTCCTCTCGAGTGCAGTTAGCGGGGCTGCATTTGTGACTGTCACCAACACACTGATTAATGTGTGCTTCTAGCAGGCAATTCATGGATCTTCAGCTGTACTGGGCAGATGAATCTTTTATTCTCTGCTCAGGAGGTGGCAGGAAAAGCCGACTTCACCTGGATTTCTTTTAAGCTGAGTTTTGTTCCTACATATAATTTGCCCATTTAAATGATAAACTTAATACACCAGTGTTACATGTCACCTCCATCAGTTTTAGAATAGTTTTCATCAATTTGAAAAGAAACTTCAAATGGATTAGCTGTTACACGATATGGTGGATTTTTCCCAGAAGCATGTAGGAATGGTATACTCAGATAATGGAATTATTATTTTCTAATACCATAAGGTGAATGCCTGATTAAGACACACACTAAGTGAAAGACCCAGTTACAAAGACCACAGCTGTATGAGTTACAAAGACCACAGCTGTATGAGTCCATCTATGTGAAACACCAGAAGAGGCAAATCTACAGAGACAGAGAACGGGTTAGCAGTTTGAGGGCTGAGGGTGGCCATGGGCACAGTTGAATGGAAAGTGATGGTTAGGATTTGCAAATTGGGCTTTTTTTCTAGGATAATGAAAAAATCCTGACATGATAACAATTGTGCAAGAAGTGAGCAGACTAAAACACTGCCCTGTGCTCTTCAGTAGGTGAGTCACGCAATGAGAACTACTATATGAAGCTGCTTCTGGAGTGTGTATCCCATATGTTGGTATCATGTGCAGAAGCAGAGAGGCACTGGAAGAGTTGCCGTTCTCCACAATGGATGTTTTTAGTTTCATAATTTTCAACAGTGATCACAGATTAATTGCATAACAAAAGCATGGGCTGCCTACTTGACGGTTCTGAGGAATTGCTGGCTTTAGGATGTAACAGTGCTATCAGGGTCATCTCAACACACAACATGAGGATGTTTATCACACACAAAATGTTTGTCAGTGGTGCCCACGCTAGCGTTTCACTCTGGGCAGTGGGATCATTATTTTGTCCTGCGTTCTTCTAAGCCATTTTCAGTCACTTTGAAATGATCACATACTATTTCTTGATGAGGCCTTGACGGAAAAAAAGAAAAGGAGAAGAATTCCTAATCTCCCAGAGATACACACTGATACATGGTATCATGTCACAGGGAAGACAGCTGGGAGCTAGACCAGCCGAGCAGCAGGAATTGTTACAGCTGGGTGATTAATTACAGGGAGGTCACTGGGTTACTGTCTCCTGTAGGTGATAAGAAGGGACACCACCAGCGGTAAGGACAGAATAGTTCCACACTGGCTTCAAAAGCACTGCGTGCACACGGATAATAGCTCCTGCTACAAAAAATGTTTTCTCATGTTTAAGAAGTCACCTAAATGGTAATATGTTATGAACAATGAAGTGTAAATGTTTCATCTGGGCCTGTGACCAGGCCAGGAAAAAAAAATCCATGCCTTACTTGAGTAATTGCTTGGCTGTATAACCTCAGGAATCCAGAGCCATGATGCATGGTTGGGCTGCAAGCTGCCCAGACTGCGGGTGTGGCCTGGAACACTCACAAGCCATTCAGAAAGCAGTCAAATTAAAAAAGCAAAAAACCAAAACAATGTTTGGGTGAGAAACTGAGAAGCAATGAGGCCTGTCATTCTCCAATGTATATTTAATCTGATTTCATCACATGCTCATCTGGGTAAGTCATCCTTTAAAAGAGATTTCCAGTGGCTTGGGAGTGGAGCTCGTACATTAACCACGGAGAATGTGGCTACAACTCCCTTCCCCCCTCCACTTACTCTTCGGAGACATACAGAAAGGCAGGATAGCAATTCATGCACACATGCAGGATTCTTCCAAACAATTAAAAATAGGTAAGTGTAAAGCTGTTGTGTATCAGGAACTTACATGAGCTAGGAACGATGAAAGGAGACCTTTCCCCATGAGATGTCACATGAAATGACCTTAATAGGAAAATCAAACCCAACCACCACAATGCTTACGTTGTCACAGGCGAAAATGATCCATTACTCCAAGACTTCTCCCCACTAGAACTTTCAGTCTCAGCATTCCCAGCAATACTAACTTATGTTGCAGACATTCACAACTGTATTCTCCTTGCTAGATTTTTAAGTTTCTTGAATGCAGGAATCACGTGTCTGAGTCACCAGAAAGCTCTGGGCATTGTGGACAAGCCATCATTTTGACTCTAAGAGTCTAAAGTTCATAGTATCAGGTACAAGGATGCAAGCCAGATGTCCTGAGTTCAACTTCTGGATCTGAGTTAAAAGCCTAGAAGTCTAGCTACAGTGGTGGCAATCTATAATTCTATCACCTTATGGGGAGACGGGAGGCCAAGACAGGAGAATTGTCCCAAAGCTTGCAGAATATATAGCTAAGAAACAACTAGAAAGAGCCTGCTTCAATGGAGTGGAAGGGGAGGGCCAACTCCTGAAAGTTGTCCTCCTTAGATGCTCCATAGCTCTGTCTGTCTGTCTGTCTCTCACTTACACAGCAGCAACAACAACAAATTTGTGGTATCACTGAGGGGGACATAATAATGAGTGGCATGCCATTCTCAGAGAATTCACTGAAAAGTTAGGGGAAAATGCAGGCATACCATAGTCATGATGGTAGGAATTACTGCTGATCTAGAGATCAGTCAATATTAGCCAGGAGTCTCCTCCTTTTAAAGAGGCTAGATATAGGAAGAAAAGGGTGTATTATACAAAGGGGGTGTTATATAAGGAGAGATTAAAAAATGTGTCCTTGAAAGTCCTCCTATTCTGAAGAACTGTCCACTAAAAATAATCAGACTTATTAGGAAAAACATGATTAAGGCAGACTGCTCCATACACAGAGTTTGTAAGCAGAACATTCACAAAAACATTCACTTCCTAGTCATAACACTAGCTCAGTTAAACCTCAGGCTGCGAATGCATCCAGAAACCTGCAGCCCTGACATTCCTATGTCTTCTCTAAGACATGGGTCTTGGAATGGAGACACAGCTCAGTGGTGGAATGCAAGGCCTGGGTTTGAACCTCAGTACTGGAAAAAAAAAAAAACAAACCCACCAAGACCAGGGAGATGGGTAGGTGTGCAAGCCTGACAACCTGAAGTGGATCCCTGAATTCCACAGTGGAGGAGATAACTGACTCCCGAACGTTGTCCTTTGATCTCCACATGCACACCATGATATGTGTGTCCTACTATCACACACACACACACACACACACAACACACACACACACACATAGATAACACAGACACAGACAGCCTTAATCGTTTTAGAAAAGTCACACTTGAACCAATATCATGTTTTGGGCACAGCAACCTAATTCCTAAAGGTATCTGAAGCAATTATGCCTGAGAAATACCTTTGGGAGAACAGCTAGATGGCTAAGTGGTTGTACCAGGTATTGGCACGTGCGACCCAAGTTTTCCTTAGGCCCACCTGTCACAGAGGAGACGAGAACCAGTGACCCGATGGAGGCTCACTTTGTCTAAGTACGATGCTAAACACTTTACCTGAATTATCTAATTTGTTCTTCATGTAGACTCTATGAGGTTAAAGAAGCAAGCTATTTAATAGGATTAAGAATTAATCCCACCCAAGTTTACAAAGCTCGAAGCGCCAGGATCTGAACCTAAATCTTCCAGACCCAGAGACCTCAGTTATTGATACCAACAGTGGAATACCACTTCTCACCCATCCAAGCGTAAAGTGACTCAGTAATGCTAACTGGTAATGCAGCCCCATGGCCTTTGCCCAGCTGCTGCATTTTGGTTGATATGAGGTATATCCTCAGGAAACCATAGAAAGACGTAGGCATCTAGACTTAACTTCTCTGGCAAGGACATGAGGAAAGTTCTCAACATGACCAAGGAAGGCCATTCTAGAGACACCTCCAGTTCAGTTCTTGCCCACTGGGCTGGCAGTGACCGCAAGGATTCAAGCTATGAAAGAACCATGGAACGGACACCCCATTCACCCATCTGAATTTCATGCAGGGTATCTGCCTGGAATGGCTGGGCAGTATAGCAACAACGATGGACTGAACACTTACGATGTACTGAGGATTAACTGTGGCAAGTGTAGGCTGTAAATCTGAACTACCCACCAGGGGAAGGGGAAAACAGGCATTTGAACAGAGGTCAAGACAATGAACTTGTTAATTCATGTGGGGGTGTGACTTGGGGGTGGGGGGGTTAGGGGAGGTTTCACTGCTAAGAGTGAAATCTGATTCTTATGAAAACTTACAAGGTTGAGGTCAACTGGACTCTTAGCTGGGAACATGAACTTAGAGAGGTGCTTTTATTTACAGGGTCATGAAATCTGACTGTGGTTAGTAACTAACGTTTGCTGTCACGATTTTCATCTTCCTCTGTGACATATCAGAACCCTCAAGAAGAACAGGTACCATTGCTTTGCTGATGAGTAACTACCAGCCTCACAGTACACTGCACACAATCCGCCTATTGGCTCGGGATCTCTGCTGGCAGATAATTACCACTTGGTGTTCTTGTACCATGCAAATGGCCTTCTATCTCATTTTACTTTATTCCTTGAAGGAATATTGAAAGATCTCTTAATATCGATTGAGGAAAGCAAGAATGAAAAGGTTACATTTCCAAGCTCATATTGTTTTCCTCTTGCCTGGCACTTTTGCTTTTTCTGGGGACCAAGTGGTCAGCTCTCAGATGTGAAGTCTGAGTGTTCAGGGTGAGGGTGACTCATATTGGACCCAGAGTGGAAACCAATGGCCTCAGACGGTTGGTGGTAATGGGGATGGGGTGGGGGAGGGGGAGGGTCAACGAGGGAAGTTGCCTTTCCAGGAAGTCAGTGAGGAAAAGAATTCTGTTGAGGAAAGAACAGAGAAAAGGAAGAGGGGAAAGATGACTTACTGATACAAGAGATGAGGTCGTTAAACCTTTCCTTGGGAAAGAGGGGGTTTTCCAGTCCACGGAAGTAGAGCTTCAGAACACCGGCCACAGAGTTGATATCATGGTTGCTCTGGTCGTCAGCCAAAGGGTTCTCACCTAAAAAAAGAAAATCTGTTATACACAGTACTTTCTTTTTCTCTCAACAAAAACCTGAGTGAGTGTGTGTGTGTGTGTGTGTGTGTGTGTGTGTGTGAGAGAGAGAGAGAGAGAGAGAGAGAAGCATATGAGTCTTTTAATTAGGCTCTCTGAAAGATTACATGGTACTAAAATTGAAATAATTGGTTTAGATATCCTACCCCATGATTAACCTAAAAATAGTTGGTTAAAATAAAGCTTAAAAAATTCTTATGCTACCAAACACTCCCTTACAACTTGCCCAAATCTTAAAATAAAACATTGTAGGGTTTATAATTTTACCCAGTATTTTTTTAAGCTAAAATCAGTAAACTCATAAACCAGAAAAACTACAGTCAGTGTTTCTTATTCCTTTGGGAGAAAGATATAGTTGAGGTTGGTCTGGCTATGCAACACGGGTCAGCAGAACTTACCAGAAATATCCCAAACTGTCTGTGAACACCTGCACTAAATAAGTGGCTATTCAAGGAGGTGGCATAGTGGGTTGCAGCGTGTGTGGAAGCTGCTTTCAACAGCAGGAGACTCTGGGACCAGGGGAGGGGATCTAAAAACTTACCTTTACTCATTTGTACCCAGGAGTTTGTGTGGAAAGTGAATATTTAAAAAATCGAACACTAACAGAATTATAATTTCCTTTACAGCAAATGGGTGCAAGATATTAGCCGGCTCTTTACCCTACCTCCTTGGGAATGAATGTGAACTGGACTTCTTCAGGGAACAACATGGCACAGAGCCTTACATCAAACTCCCTTGTTCACTGGCAGGCCCGGTCTTCTTCCCACAGCTCACAGAGCAGTCATTACACGTAACACATGCTTGCATTTGGGGAGAACTTATTCTCACGTGGCTTCTTGTTTCTCTTCCTGGCTTTCTAGGGCACGGAACTGCTGAACACAAGCTTGGCAGAATCACTTGTACTATTATTACTACTACTACTTATTATTATTATTGTTTTGCCCTTTGAGAGAAAAAGCTCACCTAGGTATTAAAAAACCAAGAGGAATTTCCAAGAGCAACTCACAAAGCATTAATTGGACTGTGGTGGCCACAAAGAACTCTAAGCTCAGCCACTTCCGCCTGGGTTTTACCGAAGTGTAGGAGGCGCTGCACACCTAGCGGTTGCTGGGAGACTGATCTGTCCCACATGTATTGGTCGGAGACTTTGAAACCAGAAAAAAAGAATTGGGGTGCCAAGTTTACCTCTTCAACCAAGGCTTGCAACTTCAAAGGGCTCTATGGCAACTCTAGGTCAGTGAATGTAGGACACACAGAGAGATGATTGTCACCACTTTGCATTTTTGCCCTGACTGCCAACCAGAGGGAAGGCATAGATGAATCCTAAAGTAGATGCAAATCGTGGTAGTTGTGGAGCATTAATAACCCATATCAACATTAGAGGATCAGATATAAACCATGTAACAACCCTGCAATTTTACAGATGAGGAAATAGGTCAAATTAAGGCTGGAATTCCTTGGCCAAATCTCACCATCAATAATAAAAGAGACCCTGATTCAATTCTGGGTCTTCCTGATGCTGGGTTCGTGGTGTGGTTTTGTTAACTATAATGTACTCATTAACAGTTTAGTACAACTTGTGTCTCAGCCAGTTATGAACAGAAAGAAGGCACTGACCCAGGTCACAGGAAGGGAGCATGGTGTGGGGATATGAAGGAGAGAGCTGGTGACAGAAAAAGGTGAGAGGCCGGAAGTGGGAAGGAGATGTCCCTCCCCCTCACCATGTAGACCGGGCCAGCCTACCCCTTCTAGAACCCTGTCACAGACGGTCAATGTGGAAAAGCTCACAGGCTTTTCCACTTTTCACACAAACAACTCATTCCTCAGCTCCCTCAGAAAAGCACATTCAAGAAGGAAGTTTTGAGGCTGCGCTGAGTTGAGGGTGCCAGGCAGAAAACAGAATCCAGAGAGCGGATTTTCAACATCACGTTTTACTTAAGGGTGGAGACATACGGTTACCTCTCTCAAAGGAGTTTTTGATATCATTCACTTCCACTTGGGAACCAGACACTCTGAAAATCCCCTGGTGTTGAAGACCTACGGGTGACAGAAGAAGAGTGTAAGAAACCCTCTCATGCCTGACACATCTTTTTTTTTTTTCTTCCCTCAATAATAAAACACCAGCAAAAAGATATGCTTAGTGAAACAAACCCACTCCTTGCTTTTAAACCAGGGTCCCATGGTGAAGACTGCTTACCATACAGGTTGATGAATCGAATACAGCTTTCCACAATGAGAGGGATGGCCTGGCCCGAGTCCTGCGGAGAGAGACAGAAACGGGAAACGAGGGTGAGTCACACAGAGAAATGAGGCGCATAGTTCAGTCATTACCGTGGCTTTTGCCCTAGTCAGGTGATTTTTTTCCCCCTCCAAATGCACCCCTCTAAAATCCCTCCAGGAAGAATTAACAACAACAAAAAGAGTGAAGAAATGTGTACGTTGACAAAGGTTCTGAAGCAAGCTAAACTAAATACATTCAACGCAAGATGTCCTAGATATGTTGGGAAGCTGGTTGGTGTTGGCGGGGGTGGTTGCAGTTCCCCCAGCCGGGAGGCTGAGTGAGAGGCTAGAATGGATAACGCTGCTGCCTCAGACGAGAGCAACAAAACCAAAGCCTCACTTACACGTTTTCCTCATCTTTCAATGACAGGCCGAAATTAGTAACTCATTGAGGGGGTGATCAGTGTGGAGCACATTAAAAGAACATTGTGTTTCACCTGTAGCATCTTCTGTCTGATCAGTTGTTCAGGATTCTGAGGAGTCTCTCCACCACATTACTGAGACCATACCACCTGGATGGTGGCAGCCGCAAACTGTCTCATGGGTGATTAAAGCGTGTTACGTATTTACTTAGTCTGCATCAGAACTTACTTAGCCTTATAAACTTAGCCCGTCTTAAGGATGAAGACAAGGAAGACTGCTTTGGCCTTCTGGGTCCAACACCTTGAAAAATGGTCACCATCCTCTACTAAGAAAATGCTGGAAATGTTTTAAAAACCATGAGCCTAAGGTGACAAATGAGTTGAAGGGGCTGAGCGGGCCAGTTAAGCATGTATTGATGGCATGCACTCTGTGAGTTAAAAGAATGGCTAGGGATGGTGTTGTTTCTCATGTACTTTTAAGACCGATCTTTTAGGAATTTGATCTTTCCAGGAAACATGGGACTTGAAAGGGATTAGCTGGCGTTGGGCTCATACTCCTGGGGAGTTTTACTCCGAAACATTAAGAACTTGGTCTTAGCACACTAGGACAATGCAGGACAGTTAACTTTCCCAGCCCAGCTGGGAAGGAGAGCCTAGGGATAATGGATCTTGCCAGCCCAAACTCTTCTCACCATCTTTATTGTCTCCAGAGTGGGCAATGTGCTTCTTAAGACACAGTTTTATTTTTGAGCTCTCAGGCAATCAGTGTATAAACCACTTAATGTTTCAATTACTCCTGGAGACTGTATTAGGTTTCTCTAATTAGTTAATTTGCTTTAGGAGCATACGTTTTATGAATTCCTTAAAGAAGAGCCTTAAAAACTAAAACATGTTTTAGTGAAGGCTAGTTGGCTCAGGGACAGTGGTGTAATTATACCAAAATTTACTGAATACACGAAGAAGGGATCTTTTTCTGTAAGACACAAGCATGGCTTAATGGAAGTAACGTTCTATAAACAATTCATGTCCCACTGCAATTTAAAAGAGCAACAAATACTTAAGTGTGAGTGATGAAAGGAGGGCATTAGTTTACATCTCTGCTGGACTTAGCATAAAGACAAAGAATAAGAGATGAAAAGAAAACTGTTTGCACTCAGAAAGTTCTGAACAAAGTCTTACATCTTCATGGCATCATATTGAACACTTTCGTCTTGACATTCACTTAGACGATGGCTAATCTTTTAACAAAGATCCTTTTCTCATTTACGTATAGTGCACTTTCTAGTAAAAATATGATGAGCATTTACATTTCATGGATGCCAGATGGTAGGGTTGAAAATATTTCACAAGCAGTAAAATTATGTGCTGCTCTCCAGATACCACCACTCAAACATGTCTTTGTGTCTCTGTTTCCCTGTGGGAAGATGGCTTTGCTCTTGTTTCCCTATGGGAAGATGGCTTTGCTCTTGTTCTTTCATGATGCCATTTGGGAGAGCTTGGAAGTCCTGTCCAGTAGTGCAGAGAGAGACCTCTGGGTCTCCGGGTTCCAGAGACTGTCCAGTGGTATATCTGCCCAGCTCACACGATGGATTTTTCACAATAACTACCTTAGGTCTTTCTCCAGTCCCTCAGTTTGCTTGCCTTTAGCTGACAGGTTTTAGCAAAGAGTTTTCAAACTCTCTAATGTGTGCATTGTCTTAAGCAGCTGCTCCACACACCAGCAAAGGGAACGGACTGGTTCATCCGCCTCTGTGGCTTTTCTGCCTTCTCCCCTCCTCGCAGGCCATCAGGGGCAAAGCTCGCTGCCTTCCTTTGGTTGTTTGCCTCGCTCTGTTTGACTAGCTCCTGCCTATGAACTATGGGCTGGGAAGTGAGATAATCGAGTCAAATTTGACAATAATTTTATAGTAGAGTCAAGAGGAGCTTAAGGCTCAAGGCAATGGCATTGTGATTCCTTTGAGGTTGTGCAGTGACCTTTTGCTTCATCCCAGGGTTAGGGCTCACTTTTAAGACTTCCAGATATTTCTAATTTCTCTCCCTCTGTATCCACACAAGCATGAATGCGTTTAAGTGTCATGTATATGGCACATACATTAATGCAAGCCTTTTAATTGGTGGTGCAAAGATTTCATGAGCAGATCTAATTTTAAAGAAGATGTCCATAACATATACATTATGGACCTTATAAAATATTTAAAATGTCATTTTTCTACTATAGTTAGCTTCCAAATACACTGTAGCCCTTCTCATGAAATGTTATCTTTTTCATGCAATTTATTTAAGAATCCATAATTCAATATTAAATATGTATTTGGTATTTCACACCGACTTTCCCTAACTCACATTGGTGTCATTGGTGAGGCTTACTCCTCTTCGATTAGCGTCTGCTTCCCAAAGGCTTTTCTAAGTAAAGCCTATTTATAAGCCGCCTAATTTCCAACTGCAAACATTTTTCTTTTAAAGACCTTACAAACTCTAATTAAAGCCAAGCATGGGAATGAGTTGCACATGATGCCAGCGCATAGAGGCCCTTGCTTCCCTCCGGCACAATACCTGATGTCTTGCGTGAGAGTTCCTTCGTCCCCGGCTAGAAGCATTATCAGAAATACAGGATGAGAAAGAAGGCAGAGAGTAAACACAGCAGAGATACAAGATACAGACTTCAGGGCTGTACAAAAATTTATCCAATATAATGAATTCCTTAAGTCACGAGAAAGCCAGACTCATGCCTTGCTTCTAAGTGAGGCTAATGTGGACTTAAAAACATATGTACTGTGCTGTCTCATGTGCACAAGCAAGAGATAATATTACATCAAGTTTATCTTTTCCCTCGGAAAAGATAAGGGGGGCTTGGAAAAAAAGGGGGGCCTTTTTCTTTTGCCCATATGATAACATCCACATTTATTTATTTTCTTTAGAAGGCTCAAAATCCAAGTTTGTCTCTGACTTCAGGAAATATTATATTGATTTTCTGGGAAAGCAAAGAGCCCCAGGACAGACCCGGACATAATGACCCTGCCTCATTCATGGGAGGCTCAGACCATTATAGTGAGAAGCATGGAGGTCAGCCACTAGTGGCTGGTGCAGTACCTTGACGAATGTCTCCAAATCCCCATTAAACAACTTAGCATTATACTGGGAGCGGGGCCTGGACTTCCTGTGTTTCTGGGGCTTAGGGGGGACGTTTGGAGGCCTAAGGGAAGGGAATATAATTACTGAGCATGGCAGAAATCAGACAATAAATGCAACACCCTTAGGTCATATCTGAATAACAAAACCAGGGATCCTGGGCTCCTTCCCCAACCCAGCCCAGGAGAAAACACTCCCATCTTCCATTTGATTTCATTCATGTATCAGAAGCACAAGAGCTGTTCATTTAGACTGCGGTGTCCCTATGTGCTAGAACTGGCGTGTTTATTTTTGGTAGCTTACTTAAAAATGGTATAATAAATTGCTATTGTGAGCTAGCTGGCCAAGTGTTATAAAGCCAGGCTTTTGTTTGGTTTATGAATTATAGACCAAAACATAATTGTAATTGGGTTTTGAGAGATATCCAAATGAGAATTTAAAAATGTTTAGTTAGTTCACAATTCAATGCACGTAACATCACATCTGTTCAGTATCCGTCATGCATTAATGGGATTTGATTTTATGTAAGCATTTTCATGAACAGGTAACCCCTGAGAAAATTAGGGATTGGTTTCAACATGGTTTCAGAGTGTGAGGCCCGGATTCACACGAGTCACTGTCTCAGTAGAATGCTGGATGTCCCTACCCACACATCTGTGGGGCAGTGGATCACATCTATTTGTGTTGCTCTGAAACATCCTGACTGTTTGCTTTGGTGAATAAGCCTTGAGGCTTGCACACATGGTCTTCGCGGCTTGCACATATCCAGTGTACCACGTGCTATGCTGGCAAACTCTGCATTAGTCATCTTGCACTATCATCGCAAGTGAGGAGGACTCTCCGACTCCCTTCTCTTAGAGAAGAGGAAGGCCAAGATGACCGGACTCAGTTTCCACATGTGTGCTGGTTAACCTCTGCAGGGAGGACAGGAGGAGGCTCACCATGCTTTCCAACTGTGTAAGCCCTTCGTGAAGCTGTTCTTTGGACGAATGACCTCTTAAGTTCATTATTCCGGTTCAGAAGAAAGTCCAGGTTAGAAATAAAACCCTGAGACTTTATGTGAAACCCTGAAGAGCTTCATTAGCTATTACCACAGCAAACCACACGTGTATAAGAGAACAAACCTGCTGACACAGCCTTTCATGGCAGAAACCCTCAGAATCTCCCAGCAGGAGGGCTGTGACTAATGGAGGATACAGCCAGCAGCACCTGAGGTCCCCTGGTGCCCAGCAGCTTAAAAGGAGCCTTTGCACATACACAGAAGTGTGTGGAGACCTCTGCCAGGCAGCACACCCTGTCCTTCCACACTTACCCTTTCTGAGATGTTTTTATACACCGCACATGAAGGAAGGCCAAAAGTTTCATCAGATCTATTTGACGACATCACTCATCATTATCCTAGAAACGCTTTCTAGTGCCCATTTTTATATTATCGAGAGGAGACTGCCCACAAAGAGTAGGTGGTGCCTTATAAGGCACAGGTGTGCCCTGGCACTCTGACATGGAGTGGGTGTGAATGGGTGGGGCGGGGCGGGGCAGCAGACAGGGAGGAGAAGGTATACGTGCAAACTGCCCTTCACTGTGGCTTCCGTGGGAAGGAGTGAGAAAACCATGGGAAGCAACAACTGGATTGTATAGTTGGGATGATCGTGGTGGCTTCTGCAGCAGTGGGGACATTCCTGGTTGTCTGGTACATGGCAGTGGGGTGTCCAGGCAGGTGATCAATTAAGGCAGGCTCCAGACAGGCTAGCCTACATAGGAAAATTACACTTCTGACCATGCCTGGTGATCTGCTAACTGGGCCATAGATGGTTCCTCGGATTAACAACATTACAAGGCACAGAAGCTTCAGATACAGAAACTAGAAGACACTGTTGTTAAAGAGCTTCATGTGTCTCTTGCCTCCACTAGAACTCAGCCTGGAACACGTGAAGTCTTGCTATGCCAATTCCTATGCTGGCTGGCTGTTGTACAAAGGACACCATCGAGAAACAAAAGTTGCCATGAACTTTCCCCAGCTGGAATTTGCTTCCAAATGTTCCAGCAGGAAGCTTTACAGGCCCTTCATGGAAGGGCGGAGGGGTGACGGGCAGAAGCATGAGCAACAGGCGGTACCTGTTACAGGCTACATTTTTTTTTTTTACATCAGATCCGAAGTGGAGAGAGATGCAAAGTTCCAAAAGAAAAATTCAATATATCTGTAATTTTTAGGCAGCATAAAGTGGAATAGGAGCTGGAAATAGGCAATTCTTTCTATTTAATAATGCAGTTGGTACACAACCTGTATTGCTTGTTAACTAAATTATCAAGTCACAAGTGTTGTCGGTCTATCCAAAAATGTCCATGTGTTTGGAATTAGATAAGTAAGTCCTCCTAACTCTGGAACAACTGCTTGCTAAGGAGCTTTGTGATTCTTCGGAGGGCAACCTTAGTGGTGTCAGAGCACACGGCATGTGGAGAGAACCTAACGCCATCAAGGTGCTGTGCGTCCTCATGCCCAGACGATTGTGTCGTCAGTAATTGTTCTTGCTAAAGAGAAAAGAGAGACAAACAGACTACAGACTGAGAAAATATCTTCCTACCTTGTAGTCATATATTCAGCTCTATGACCTGCCAAAAAAGAATAAAATAAAATGAGTAAACTGGGTAGAGTCAATGTGCTCGATTTGATGATCTTGTGTATCATCGGTCCCTTATCTCAGGATACTGAGTTAATAATGAGTTATGATCTCATGGGAAAGAAGATGTGAATAGCACATGATAACAAATAATTCAAGGTCATTATTTTCACAAAATCTCAATCCAAGATTTAACAGATTCTGTAGGTTAGAGAAACATGTTTCATTTGGCAATTTGAGGCAGTTTCTTTCTTTTTTTTAAGAGAAGAAATAGCTGCTTGACTGTAACTTTACATTCAAACACAAAACACAACCAAAGCATATTTAAAGTTCCATGCCAGTGATAGTTATTTGCTCTGTTTTGATTGATAGAAGAGCAAATAGGGTTGGGTGAACTCAGTTTCCCCATAGACTTAAGTTGGTCTTCTTTCTGTGGTGTGAAGTCAGGACAATGGGAGAGAACTCACGTTCCCTATTTCTGAACTGACACAGAAACCACATACAAGGACATTGAATAATTCTACAAGCTACCACCTGTAAGCCACAAGTCCTCCACAGGTTTCTGTCATCTAAACCACCAGCTGCTTTTCACACGTACATGTAAACCCTCTTATTGTACATAACAGGACTGGATCTTCCTAGCACGCTCACAGTTTGCACTATCTCAAGTGTGAAGCATCCACACTGTTGTCTGTTCTTCATGCATTCAGGGTGGAACCGTGTGGCAAGTTGGGAGAGAGTGGAACCACTCAGCTGCTCTGTTAGCAAAATGACGGCATGACTCTAGAGGAGTCTGAAACTGCCGCTGGCGGAGAAAGGCCCTGTTGTAGCCCAAACTGGTGAGCCCCGCCCAGCACACAACACAGTGGTTCAGACCTACAACACAAGGCCAACTGGACAATTGTCAAGCACTCCCTGACCACAGCTGAGCCCCTCTCTCAATTATCTGCTCTTGAATAACAAGTAACATGAAATACTTGGTAAGTGTTGATTAAATAGGCACAGCAGATATTATCAGAGGACGCCTTTCTTCACCCAGATCTGAGCCAGTACAAGTTTTGGCAAGATCATATTCTAGCCGGAGTTGGAGTGAGCAGAGTGTGGTACGTGGCACCTTACGGATATCCTAATGGAAATGCCCATGGGAAGCTGGGCTAGCCTGGATTTGGGCAGTGGGCAGACAAGGCTGAGACCTCCTAGGGTGAATCGGTGCGATGAACAAAGGGTTGAGGGTAGAGGCATCATCTGGTTCATCAGTACTGGATTGCCATGTTCAGTGCTGTGTCATGACAGCAGTGTGATATAGTAATAAGAACGGACCAGAAACTATTTGAATATATGTCTTACGCGTGCGCGCGCGCACACACACACACACACACACACACACACACACACACACACACGTGTGTTGGCATTGGGAAGGTGGCTCAACTGGTGATGAGCCCACCATGCAAGCATGAGAACCTGGGTTCAGATCCCAATGTCTATGCAAAAACTAAGCACGAAGATGCATGCCTCTAACCCCAGTGCTTGGTGGGGTAGAGATAGGTGGATCCGTGGAGCTCACTGGTCTGTCAACCTAGCCAACTGGTGAGTTCCTACTACAGTGAGAGATCCCAAGTCTCAGACACACAAGGTGTGGAGTGATCAAGAAAGATATTCTATGCTGACCTCTGAGGCCTCCACAGGCATGTGGACATTCATGCATGCACACGTGCACATATCCACATGAACACACTCACATACTACATGCACATTCACACTCAAACCCAACTTTTGTCTTCCCACTGGAAAATGCTTTGAAGGGATGAACCCCAGCTTATACTTTTCCTTCCCAGTATGACTCAAATAAAATACAAAATAATGCACGTGATAAGACCACTTCTATTATTATGCTCCTTCCACCGATGGTTGACGGTATGACATAAAAAAATTAGAAACGTATACAAGATACATTTTGAATAATGAGCTGAGAGCGGGTGTTAAGGGAGACACAGTGTAACTGCACAGCCACATTGATGGCTTTTCCAGATAACAGTCCTCAGTGCATCTCGACTGATGAATGGGGTTTTATTTTCTCATCAGCGTCATCATTAATAGACCAATAACACACAAGTAAGGAAGACTCACCTTCCTAAAGAAATGCCAAAGCTTCTGGTGGTCTAAGGACTAGATTTCAGTCACTTTTTCTGAAGCTTATTTAATTATTAAAAATTATTAAAAACTACAGCCCCCCCCCACTTAAGCCACTTGGAGGGGGAAAAAGATCCAGGGCTAAGTTTTTTGTTTAGTACAAACATCTCCTTGGATTGTTTATCCGGGGGAGGGAGGTTGTTATTGAGGTAGAGATTGGCCTTGCTCTGTATCCCAGGCTCCCCTCAAACTCCATCCTCCTGCCTCTGCCTTTCAAGATCAGGGACTGCAATCAGGGATAACCGGCTTCTTTTAATCTTCTTACATTTTACTTCAGAATTCTGAAGTGAATTGTTTTTTCACACTTAAATGCAGTTTATTCAAAATGCAGGTTGGGGGCAACTTGAGGTAGGAGAAAAAACTAGAGAATGATATTTAAAATATGCCTCGCTTGAACTGGACCATTGATTTGTCCTCTAATGAGTAACTGCTGAAGTCCCCATGGTGGATACTTCCCAACCCCCTTTCTTCCTAAACTCTGTCGACTACTGGGGTGCTTTTGTAAAAAAAGACATAATTATTCAAATCCGATTCTCTTTTGAAAGAATATTTGTACTCCTACTCAAAGGCAGACAATGGATTATTCCAAGATAACCTACTTAATTCCTTTGTCAAAAACGTTATGCCTAGGACAAGAAACAATGTAATATAGAGCTTGGCTCCCACTGTCACATTTTTCTGTTGAGCAAAAATTGTTCAGATATTTCCTCCCTCTTACCTCCAAATACTGCACACAAAGAACCTGAAGTGAACATAAAGGCTCATTACTAGACAATAAAAAGTGCAATGTCCCAGTTTTATAGATATATATCTATAGCCCATGTGTTTCTTCTCTCTGTTTCGATGTTTTTTTAAAGTCTTGAGAATCTGGGTTTTGGGAATGCCCCTTTAGGAGTCTGATGCAGTTGCTTCGCTGTGTTGTAAATCAAAGAACTGACTGGGCCACTGGTAGCCTGCCAAGAGCAGGCAGCAAGGCAGGCCAAACACATGTCTGTAGTTAGAGTTTCATCTGTGGACGATCAACAGCTAAATCCCCGGGCAGGGCTATTTGTTTTTACTATGAAGGCAGTTTTTGCAGCAGCAAGTCTGGGAGAATTCAGAGGCATTCCTATCTGAAATGTCAAGCTGGTCCGCACACACACCACTTAATCCTGGACTACTAACCTTATTTAACCAGATGGAACTTAGATTCTTTCCTAGCGGTTCACCATTGGGCTATTTTTCCATGGGACAGGCGCCCTTAACCCTCCTAGTCTCCTTTGTTGTAAGCCTATTAACACGAACAGGGCTTGCATGAAAAGGCAGCAGGCTTACCAGGGCTGAACCTTTTTAAAAGTGGGGTGTGTCTCCTGCGTTCAGTTTCTCTTGGAGGGTCAAACAAAGCAGCAGCAGCGGGTGGCCAGCAGCTGATGTGCTGTCAAGCCAGCACAAGTTACAGAGCTAAGAGCTGCCGAGGTCTGTGCCCAGTTAGTACATGCTACCCTGATGAAAACCATCCAGGTCCCTTCCATAGACTTAACCGAGTGTAACAAAGCTGTGTCGAGGGGGACACTGGAGCCCACTGAAAGAAATTCCGAGACCACGGAATCCTGGCTTAGTGTTCACAAGGTATGACAGCTTTACACAGCGTGGCTAAGGACAGCCTTTGGCAAATATCTCAGCCTACAAGGCCAAAATGTAGCCCGATCCAAGAATGACATGACATGGAGAGTAACATTAACCAGTGGGGCTTTTCTCTCTAGGAGACAGAAAAGAATTTATGCTCAATGACTACCTTACAGGCTTCAGAAGGCTGCTCCAAGCCACATTAACACTTGCCTGAGCGCAGTGCCAAGAGCGAACGTCGCCACGGCTCAGTTCCCTCAACCTCACCATGTCCGCAGAGGCTCTCAGTCTCAGAGACTCTTGTCTGAAAGCTTTCTCTGCACTGACGAGAAGTTATGCTCTGGGGGCAGCAAGGGACCTTGAAGGGCATTGTCTGAAATATCGGGCACTTTTGAAAAATGGGAGGAAAAGGGGGAACTTATTATGAGACAAAAGGAAAAAAGATCCACAAACAAAACTAGGATATGATTTTTACAAGAAACAAAACTGTTCAGAGATAAAAATGCTAAAAAAAGCTTAACTCTAAAGACTAGTACAAGGAATATGCTGACAATCTTCACTTAGATTTCATAATTGTGTAGGTATGTATGTATATATGTATGTATGTATGTATGTATGTATGTATGTATGTATGTGTGTGTGTATGTGACCCATGCTATAGGGAAGTAAGTTCTGGAAAATGTGGCCCTTTAGCAAGCTTTTTTTTTAAAGAATAAAAACATTCTTCTTTATGACCACAGTATTATTACAATACATAGGAAAATTAAGCCAATAATATTTAGCATGTAGATTATATCCATTTCCAATTATGTTTAAAATGGCCTTAGTATGTTTTGCCTTTTGGTTCAGATTTTAATTAAAGTCAACACATTATATTTGGTTATTTTATTTTTCTTGGATGGTTTTTAATAGTTAAACCTTGTTTCTTAGGTGTGACTGCCTTTCAACCCAGACGCTGGGGAGCCTGAGGTTATACATGACAACCTTTTCCTGGTGACCATTCCCTGAGGATGATGGGTCCCTTGGAGCAAACCATAAGGTAAAGTGGTGGACACACTGCCTTGTGGGCAAGGACGGTTCCAGAATGTAGGGAGCAAGAACTTAGGTGTAAGACAGAAACCTCTTATAAAAAGATTTACTTTCATTTTATGTGCAGGAATGTATGTATGTAAGTGCACTGTGTGTGTGTGTGTGCGTGTGTGTGGTGCCTGCAGAGGCCAGAAGAGGGCACTGGATCCTCAGGAACTGGAACAAACTACCCTGTTGGTGTGAGACTCTAACTCCCATCCCAGCAAGTGCTCATAATGGCTGAACCACCTTTCTAACCCTGATGTTTTAGATCCCAAGACACTTAGCTTAAGTTAGGACTTTGCCTTTATATATTTGCTTTTCCTTTCTACATTTTATGAAGACAAAAAGGGAAGTAATGATGTTTACATAGTCCCCTTAGCTCGCAGTCCACCCTCACCTGTTTCCTCATTTGTAAAGACGAGGAAGCTAATAGTACCAAGTTACGACTATAGTTCAGAACAATACATGCCTTGAAATGCTTCGTTAGTATTAATGCTATTGTTTTTGTTACCACACATAGAAATCTATATATTTACCATCAGATCCTTTCTTAACTACAAACAATGCCTGAAGGAAGAAAAGGAAAATCTCCCAGACTGGACAAACTGGTTTCTAGAATCCCAAAAGGCAACAAATGGGACAGGTACCAGCCCATCCAAATGGACAGGGGTGAGGCTGGAGGGCAGAGAAGCCTGAAGCAGTGGCAGCAGACATTGGGGTCAGTAGGTGTGGGTCTCTCCCAGAAAGAAACCCCCTCATTGGAGTTACTCCTCTTCCTTGAATTTACCTCTGGGCTTAAAACAATTATCAGCGAAACAGATCAACCGAGTCTAAATGTACAACAGCACTGTCTATATGTTGACTGTGCACACACTCACCTCACACACTCACCTCACACAGGTACAAACACGCACACACTCACACACTCTCACACACCCACTTCACACTCACAATGCACTCACACATGCACACACACATGCACACTCACACACTCTCACACACCCACTTCACACTCACACATGCACTCACACATGCACTCACACATGCACACACACATGCACACTCACACACTCACTTCACACTCTTCAAAGAGCACCCATGACCCGACACACAGGCCAAATCATTCCCCATTTGCTCCCAGTGACTGACCTTCTCCCAGAGTCCTCTGCAGTAAGTCGTGCTTAGCCTGAAGCTTCGTGATGAGATTGCTGCCCTCCAAGAACTCTCGGAGTTTCTGCAAAAGGCAAGGGGGAAACTTGAAACCATCCCATGTCCAGGGACTTCCCAGAAGGGCACTAAAGCCCAGGCGCTTTGTCTGCTTCCTAGAGTTCTGCTACTCCAAGTGAGGTTTCTAGTCTAGTGGAGTCAGCCATCCTTTGAGTGCCTATTGGAAATGCAAACTCTGGGTTCTTCCTCCCCAAACGTGTTGAAACTGGCTGCATTTCAGCAGACCTGTCTCCCCACCCCCCAACATGTACCCATGTGAATGTGGAAAAAGCCTGGATTGGGGAAGAAATGATGGTGATGGCTGTGGAGGCAGCAGGACCTGAGCTCAGATCTCTGGCACTGGGTGTGGCAGTGTGTATCAGTAACCCTGGCACTAGGGTAGGGATGGGGACAGGAAGATCCCAGGTGCTCATTGGCCAGTTGGCTCCTGGTTCAGAGAGAAACCTGTCTCAAAAAAACAAGACAGAGGAACAACCGAGTAAGATATTCCTCACATCTGCTCAACGACCCCTTTCCCCCATTCTGTTTTAGAGAAACCCCAACTCCTAATGTCTACCAGACTGGCTCAGTCTGGACTTTGAGGGTGCTCAGGTGACCATATGGTTAAATCAAGGCCTCCAGGAGACTCTGGTATCATGATAGAGGTGCCCTGTGCAAGTGCAGCCCTGGGCTCTGTCAGGAGAGGCTGGGGAGGTGGGCTGGGCGCACCATGAAGTAGAAGTGCTCCGTCTCTTGCTGGTTAGCACGCCTCTTGGCGATGCTGGGCTTGCTCAGGTAGGTTTCAGACACAGTGGACTTCACAGACTCGGTGGAGCGGCTGTGCTGGAAGCACTCGGACACGTCATAGTCCTCAATAGTGACCATATCTTGGATCGTCTGGAGGGTGGCTTCAGTCGTTTTCTTGACCTGGGAACAGAAAAACATTCCGCCCATTAGCATATTGTTCTGTGAACCTTATGCTTCCCAGAGAGAGTCTGTCCCTCAGGGAGAGGCTACTTCAGAGCATGGTGGGTGGGGGAAGACAGACAGGTCAACTGGACCTCAGATCACCAATCTGTGTCCAACGTCACAGACTACTAGAGACTCCCAATTTCATTTTTGTTTACTATTACCTTTAAATTAAAGCAAACCCACACACAGGAAAAATAATACACAGACCAGAAGTATACAGCCTGATGAATAACTCAAAGTGAACACACCTATGTATACATCTCTCAGATCAAATGTATACTTTATGAACACCCCCACTGGCCTTCAAATAAAATCCCCACTTTTCTTCCTCTCAATGTTTCTAACTGCCCTCCTGCTCCCCCCTCTTTTCCCCTTATTAGGAGCAAGCATACTGCTATTAAGCCACACATCCAACTTTCCACTACCCGGCTCTCTAATATTTTGGTGGCATTTTATAGAAACAAAATAGTATAGAATGTATCTTTATGATTTCTTTAGCTCAATGTCAGTGAGGTTCATTTCTCGTGAACACAGTATTTCACTACTTGATATTTATTGGCAGCACAAATCATAATTCACCCCTTTGACTGACGACCAACTTTTAGTTTGGGTCCTTTACAGTGCGATGGACACAATTTTGTTGGGCCGCAAACACAGAATCGCTGTGTATGGACAATGCCAGATTGCTCCCCAAAATGACACCATTTATATTCCCACCAGCCTGGGGGAGAGTTCCTGTTACTCCACATCCTTGTCAACAGTGGGCACTGTCAGTCCTTTCAATTTAAGCCGCTGTGCTGGTGTGCAGTGGTCTCACGTTGTGTCCGTAAATGTCTCCCTGCTGTATGAGCTCAAGTGTATTATCGTACGTGAAAGGTACCCTGCATCTCTCCTGTGGGAATACTTCACCGAAACCTGTCAATCAATGCTCTACTGGGCTCTGAGCCTCTGGTACTAATTATTTTCCCATTCTTGGCTTCAGCTTCAGTACTGTCTAGATGAATAGGGCTTCTAGTCTTATTTTTATATTTTATTGTGTGTGAGAGTGTGTACACATGCCACAGCATTTGATGGGAGGTCACAGGACAACTTTGTGGAGTCAGACTCTCTTTCCACTTCTATATGGGTTCTGAGGGTTTGGCATGCACCTTTGGGTGCTGTACAACCCCTCCTGACCCCAGATCTTACTTTTGATACGATGGATTTTTCAGCCCTTATTTTTGACGACTAGTGCTTTCTGTGTCCTGCTAACCCATTTTCTTATCCCACGGTCACATCCGTGTGTAATACTACTTCCTAGGTGCTTTCAAGTTTATGCTCTAACATCACCTTAACATTCGCTTTTTATTTATCAAGGATCACACAGTCTATGCTTATCAAAGTCTACCGTAAGTTAACAGGCTTTCTTTTTCTCATGTAATATAGAGGCTAGAGAGTTTAGGCCCATTTGCCTCTCCTAATTCAGACACTATTTAGTAATGCATTGTGATAAGAAATTAGGTAAATAGCTAAACACACTTAAGGAAGACAGTATTACTTTTATATACTCAATATATTCATCTTGATTTCCATGTATTTAATGGGTTCTTCAATCGCTGTTGCTTATATATTAAAAGTAATCGTTGGGAGTTCTTTTCATTTGAGTCTATTTCATACACTTGAAATATTTTGTCTCTTCACTTATGAAAGATACTTTCCTTCTAGACAGTTATTCTTCAGTGTACGGAATGTGTATACTTTTTGTGGCTTCCATGTTCCTGCTGAGTAAAAATTTTACCTTTAGTCTGTCATTGCTTTGAAAGAATCTTTTTATTCCTCCATCTCCTTTTAAAGTTTTCTACCCACCCTTGGGTTCTATAGTTTGATAATGGTATGTCTAGGCACTGATACATACATATCTATCTATGTACGTTTCATGGATGTCTGTGTGGATGCATATGCCTTACAGTGAGAGTGTGGAAGACATCAGACAACTTGAGAGAGTCTATTCTCTCTTCCCATATGTGTCCCAGGGAGAAACTTGGGTTGCCGGACTTAGTCCCACATAGACACAGATCTGCCTAAGTGATTTGTTTAAGTTCTGGCTTTTCTTCTTATCTTTTCAGCTACTTCCTGTTTCTGCAGTTTTTCCATCCCAAGAGTCCAGTCACAACAGCACACTCCACAGTCTTCTCTTTGCCTTGTAATCCTTCTCTTCTCTTTCTGTTCTTCTCTCCTTTTCTATTCTTTTACAGGTAGTGTTTTGATGATTTCCTCCTTGATTTGTCCCTTTTGGCAACTCACTCTGCAGCTGTGTCTAATCTACAAACCACCCACCACTTGGGAGTGGTTTTCCCCGTCATTCTTAGCTCTCCAATTTCTATGTGGCTATTTCCTGATCTCTTATCTCACTGCTCATTTTCTCTGCTGAAATGTAAGCTTGATTTTAATCTCCTTGAATTCAGTAAGCAGTTGTCCTGCAGCAAGCATGTTCTGATGATGCCACTACTGGTAGTTTTTGTAGTCTGTCTCGGGTATTTATTATTTCTTCCAGCTATCACTAATGACTTTTCCAAATCACTTCATGTACCTGTCTTTCTTACACATGTAAAACATGTATGTATGTATGTATGTATGTATGTATGTATGTATGTATGTATGTATTATGTGTATATGCGTGGGGACGCCTATGCATGTGAATGCCAGGGGACAACCTCTGGGAGTCAGTTTTTTCTAGTTGAGGAGACCAAACTTAGGTCTTTAGGGTGGTGACAAGTGCTCCTACTTGCTGAGCCATTTTGCTGACCCTTGTTAGATATCTGCATAGAGTTAATAAAGGTGTAAGTAATTTCATCAGCCTCCAAAAACAAAGTCTGTTTTTCCAAGCTTATGGGCCACCAGTAGCTTAGAATTACTGGATTTTATTACTGCTCAACGTACTGGGCTCTTGTCCTTTTGGGACGCTGGCTCTTGTGTCATGGGCTTCGTGCTTTGCCCTGCACTTTGCCCTGGACAATGGAACGTGAACACAAGAATCAGCTGAGTGATTCACACCATCATTGTAAGAAGTGGAAATGTTTTAAATTACATAGACGACAATAAAACCCAACGCTATTGAAGCTCAGTGGGTAAAGGTGTTTGCCATCGTGCCTAATGAATGAATTTGATCCTTGGAACCTACTAGGTTGAAGGAGACAACTGACTACTGTCAGTTGTCCTCAGACCTCCATGCGTGTCATGGCACACACTTACATGAACACACACACAGAATACTCAAACCGAGCATACTATGGGGTATCTTAAAAAGACCCAGAGAATGCGTGGTGGCACACCTTTAGTTCCAACACCTGGTAGGCAGAGGCAGGTGGATCTCTGTGAATTCAAGCCCATCCTGATCTACAGAACTAGTTCCAGGGCAGCCAGGGCTATACAGCGAGACCCTGCCTCAAAAAAACGATGCAGAGAATGAATAGATTGTGTTGTTCCTGGATTATGCACAGTATGAAGAATGGATATTTCTGTGAAAAAGCATATTTGAACACTTGTTTAAAAAACCATTACGTCAGGCAGCAGCATCAAAGGTCATGTCCGTATACCTATAACTATGAGGGTTAGAAGACTCACTACCTTATGTCTGGCCAATATGTTATTGTTATTTGTGGAAACATTTCTCAAATGGGCATAATGCAATGCTTCAAAAGTCGGTATCATAGACAGATGTGAACGAATGCACATGAGTACTAAAAATACAGCTCCAACAGTGACAAACACAATAGCTGGACCTGTGAGGAGCCTTCATTAAACTGGGCGGATGAGAAATAAATCACATGTCTAAATTAAAACATACTTTTTATGTGATTTAAAGTATCTATGCATAAATAAAGCAATGATTGCTGAAGGTAGATATATTTTTATAGCTCCCCGAGTTTTACATTCACATTAGGAAATGGAAAGTCTTTTACTTGTCTGCAACACTAGTAGATAAAAAAAAGGTACCCTCTCTTTATTCATGGAAACTCCTGATATTTTATCAAGACGTGTGCGAGCCTGTGCTGGTCTCAAGGGAGGCAGGGAAGGTACTATGGGAGGCTGAGTTCTGAGGCATGTATTGGGGGTCAATAAATAGGTACTAGGCCTCAAGGCAGAAGATGGAAGAAAGCAAGCCTGGCCTCTTGGAGCCACACAGGCGGTTTCATACGGGTAGGGAGAGAATGTAGCTTTCAGAATGATATGCTAACCAAGTCACTACCATAGCACACCCCGTGGACGGGCAATTGGGAGCCGCTCAAAGTTGCAAGGGCTGGAGTGAGGGCTCAGATTTCACCTTCTAAAATATCTTGGGGCTGATGAAAAATAAAAGGAAAAGACAAAAGGGGAAAAAAATGAAGCAGGAGACCTTAACTTAGAGAGGTCATGATTGTCGAGCTGGGAAGAAACACCTGGAATGAAACCGCTAGGACATGTTTGAAAAACATTTAGGCAACAGAAATAGAGGGCTCATTTTTTTTTTTTTTGGAACTGTCTTAAGTGGAAACTCCCCCCTTCCCCCAGAAATAGTAGTGTAAGGTGGAGCACACTTCAAAAGTCACACAGAAACATTAAGACGCCAGCAGGGTGGAAAGTGAGAGTTTATCCAAGGAGCTTTGATAACGTTTTTGCTTAAAATACGAGGATACTTACATGAAAGCAATGACAAAAGAGCAAGTTCCAAATGGCAGCTGTCGAAAACAAGAAGACAGGAAACTCCCCCAAACCTCCCAAGAAGGCCTGACCCAAATCTAAACAAACAAAAATTTCCATGGATGAAAATTAAAATCCATGCCTGTAGTTTGTCCTAAATGACCGGTCAATGGGTTGGAATTTGTTAAAGTGTGCTTATTGAGATGACATAGTTATAAAACAACATCTCACTACCCATGCTCCAATGGGTAGATACCCAGAGGTAGAAGTGTTATCAAACACACCCAAACAGACCACACGTGTGAAGAACCAAAATCAACTGTTTTCCTTCTGTGTGACAAGTTCCTCCTTAGAAACGGTGGTGTCACAGTTAAATTTGGAGTTGCCAGGAAGAAAAAGGGAGTGACAGAGCCACCAGACATTATGGCTGGGACTCTGTCATCCTGTGGGATGCTCTCTGGGAAGAATAACATGCCAGCCATGATAATAAGTCACAGAGGGGATTCACCAAAATAAATATACTACGGCTAACACAGGCTAACACAGTGCTGCAGGGAAACATGGGTGGGTTCGGTAGAAGTAAATGCCAAATGATTGACAAGCAACACATGAGAAACACAACCTATTTTATACTCCAGCCCGTGGATTAAAATGAGTGATGGGGAAGAGGTAACTGTTGTGGGATTAGAAACATGATTATCATCATCAGTGTGTGTGTGTGTGTGTGTGTGTGTGTGTGTGTGTGCCTGTGTCCATATGTCAATATATGGGGGCCAGAAGAGGATACTGGCTGTTTTCCTGTATTGCTGTCTTCCTTACCACCTTGGGGCACATCTTTGTTGACCCGGAAGCTGACTCTCTTGGTGAGGGTGGGCAGTCAGTGAATGCCTAGGATCCTCTTGTCTCCATCCGCCCTGTGCTGGCATTACAGGCATGTGTTACCACTGCCTTCACATGTGGGAGCTGGACATTTGGACTCAGGTCTCCATCCTTGCACAGCAAACTCTCTTACTCTGAGCCATCACAAATCCCCTCTGCAAGTCATATGCACTGGCTCTTGGTTGTTTTGTCCTCAGGAGTCTCAGGAGAGAACCCCAAAGTCACTTTGCTCGTCTCAGTCTCCAAATACAGCCTATTAGCTTGCTCAGGTAAATTGTCATCCCAGTGTTGTAACCAACAGAGACAATCTTCTCCCGGTCATGGAGGCTGGAAGTCCAAGGTCCCATGTGGGTCTCCAGGCTATGGCTCCTCTCTGGCTTGGGAGGGAATGTTCTGTCCCAGAGCATTCTTGTTGGCTTATAAAATGCCACCTTCTCTTTGAATCTCTGGACTGAAGTTCTACCTTTTTACAGGGACATTGACCACATTTGATTAGGTCCCACCCCAATGATCAGCCTTTACGTTCGACGACCTCTTTGAAAATCTTTAAATAAGGTCATATTCTGAGCCATTGAACATGGACATTAACACTTCAACATATGAATCGGGGATGGGGACGCCACCCACACTGGAACATGCTCTGTACTCTGATGGCATGGTGCCTTGAACCATGTTTTAGATGAAGACCTCCACATTCATGGGGATTGACTCATCTCTTTGTCAAGGTGACCTCCCCATTCAGACACTTCAGTAACATTGTATTTCTATTACACCACTGTATCATTTAAGATGGATTTAAAACTATTTAAAAGGGACCCCCCCACACACACACAGAAACTGGATTTGTGCCTAGGCTGTGGGAACTATGTCAGAGTCGGCCCCAGATGACAAGAGCAGAGGCAGCACCCTGCCTTGTCCTGCCCTCTCTCCTCATCCCTTAACAGTGGCCCTGTCTGAACTGGATGGGATATCACAGAGCCGAGGAGCATGATGTCTTTGTTGCTCTCTGTGGTTTCTGTTGATGGGGTAGTGGTTGCTCCAGAACCACTGCAGAGGGAGTCACACCAGTCCCATGTCTGCCAGCATCTGAGGTTGCGTTTATAAACACTGGGATCGCTGGGTTATTATTAGTTTTTAAATTCATTCTCGGGGCTGGAGAGATGGCTCAGGGGTCAAGAGTGCTGCCTGCTCTTCCAGAGGTCCTGCGTTCAATTCCCAGCACCCACATGATGGCTCACAACCATCTGTAATGAGATCTGGTGTCCTCTTCTGGCCTGCAGGCATATATGTGATAAATAAATCTTAAAAAAATAAATTAAAATTCATTTTCATCTGTGATAGAGCTTAACCCAAGGATGGCATTGTTGCCCAAGGGACTCTCAGAACACAGTCCCTGCCTTCAGTTGCCTCTGAGAAAACCTGTTTTTCTCAGGTCCACATGCCCTGGTTCTTTCTGTAGCCTTGGCTGTGTTAGAATTCGCTCTGTAGACCAGGCTGGCCTTGAACTGAAAGACCCGCCTGCCTCTGCCTCCTGGTTGTTATGATTAAAGGTGTGCACCACCACTGTCTGGCTGTTTTTTTTAAACAACTAAAAACTTCAAATCCAAATAAAACAAATCTGTAGCCTGCCAGTTGAGAGAGAGAATTTTCCAAGCGAAATAGCCAGAAGAAGAAAGCAAATAAAAAGTAAAAAATAAAAACCACTGAAAGTCACTGGTCATAAACTGTAGATGCTCTAGGAGCCAGCACTTTGCAGTAGACCAGTGAGTATCTCATGATTCCTAGCCAAAAGTGTAGCTTTAAATCAAGACTTCAAGGAGAATAATGACGTCCTTTGTAAAAGCTCATTTGTGGGCTGACCTTATACCAGGGGTTCTCAACCTTCCTAACGCTGGGACCCATCAATACAGTTCCTCATGTCGTGGTGACCCACAACCATAACATTATTTTTGTTGCTACTTCATGACTGTAAATTTTTTTTTTACTGTTATGAATCATAGTGTAAATATCTGTGTTCTCAGATGGTCTTAGGCAGCTCTGATGAAAGGGTCATGTGACCCCAGTAGGATCTCGAACTACAGGTTCAGAACTGCTGCTTTACATAGAAGTAACTCAAGTTGCAACTTGATTAAGGGCTAATTTGGTTTCTCCAGTAAGAATGAAAGCAAAAACAAAACCAAACAAAATACTTAACAGTATGTTTTGATCAAATTACAATGGTGTTGAGACACATTGTTTTTTTTTATGTGTGTCTGTGCTTGTGTGTATATATGTTTTGTGTGTATGTATATGTCTAGGGAACCCACAACAGGCCACTGGATCCCCTGGAGTTTCAGGCAGTGAAATGATAAAAAGTAAATAATTTTTCTCATATTTTAACTTTTTATTCTATCATCTATCTGTCAAAATAAATCTATCTCTATCATCTATCTAGATTCTATCTATCTACCTACCTACCTACCTAGTATCTGTCTGTCTGTCTATCTATCTATCTTATCTATCTATCTATCTATCTGTCTGTCTGTCTGTCTGTCTGTCTGTCTGTCTGTCTGTCTGACTATATATGCAGGGGTGTGTACAGGTGCCCATGGAGGAGCCAGAAAAAGGTGCCAGACTCTGGAACTGGCACTACTGGCATTTGTGAGTCCCCTGCCCCCTCCATGTGCGTGCTAGGATCTGAACTCTGGTTCTCATGACAGCACAAATATTCTGTAACCACTTAGCCAGCTGTCCAGATCCTTATTCTCTGTGCTTTACCTTTTTTCACACAGAGTCTAAGGGAGCCCAGGCTGGCCTCAAATTCGGTATGTAGCCCCAGGATGACCTTGAACTTCTGATCCTCTTGCCTTCACCTCCTGAGTGCTGGGATTATGGTCTTGAGTCACCATACATCATCTGTCTGGCACTGGAGATTGACGTGCAAGCAAAGCACTATGCCACTGAGTGACGTCCCCTGCTCCAGTGATTTGCTTTGTTGGTCTGAGTTTGTTCTTTATATCCCACATTCTATACTCTGCAAGTAATCTGTTTCTGCATAACTTCTATCCGGGTTGTCAATCACTGGACAGCATCAAGTCTGGTCAGTCAGGAAATTCCATCTCCTAGGTGTAATGGTTGGACCAGACTTAAGCCCAGCCATTGAAGAGATAATCTTCCATCATTGGATAAGGATGCTGGCATAGGATAAGATGGCAAGCAGTAGGACCATGGAGTTCTGGAACCTAAACCCTATCAATACCCATATATCACAAACCCAATAAAGTCACAGGTTGTTGCAAATACAGATCAATTTTGGGTTCCTAAAAATCACCTTTGAGAGTCTTGAATAACGAAAAAACAACTGTGCTTCCTCTTTTTTTATATTAGGAGAGCACAAGTCTGATACATTCAATGGCACAAACAAGCATCTGAATTATGCATTTGTTTTCCAGTCTCACTATATACGGATAATTCACATTTATAGTCTATACTTTAAATATGTCAGCAAATAACCATTTTTCTACCCTACTTCAAGCACTATTTCCAATGGGAATTTTTTTGCACTAATTTTATAACCAATGCCACATTCAGCACCAAAAATTCAGAAACTATGGCAAGGCATAAGCAAGGGGTGGGGGGACTTCTAATTTTAGAAGATAGGATCAAATTAACTTGCATTCTACATATGACTATATTTTTGGACATATGCAACGGATTAGATAATTAAGGGAGCTATTTTCAATATGAACTATAGTTTGAGGAGACAAACTATGCTTACAAGTACACAAAGTCAACCCTGGTAAAGTATTTATTTACAGAGGCATGCGGAACCCTTGCCTTTATCCTCTGTGAAGAGTCCTGTAGGAACCCCGATAGCGAAGAGCATGATTGCCTTCTAAATGACAATGGTGCCGAGGCCATGTGAGCGCATCTTTCAGATTAGGGGTGAATGAGTTCAGATCCCAGGGGGCCAAGGAGGTACGCTCCCTCCCTCCCAGGCAGCACGCTCACTCCCTCCCAGGGAGCCCACTCACCTCCTCGTTCTCGATCTTGAGTGTGGCCAGCCTGGACTGCAGCTGTTGGTTCCGGAGCATGAGCTCTGCCTGGACTGGCTGCTGGGCACTGACCTGACACACCTGATGCAGAAGCAGAAAGTGCAGTTATAGCAGGCACCGCCACCAACCTCAGAGGCACAAGTACTAGATATTGGGTTTGGGTGTGAACACAAGTCTACGCATGCATGTGCTCGCCTGTTTGGGTGTACGTGGAAGGCAGCAGTCAACTTTGGTGTGCCTTCATCTATTGCTTTCCAGAGTATTATGAGATGGTTTCTCATTAAACATACAGCCATAGGGTTGCAAGTCTGCCAAGGCTTGACTTTTTGTCTGGGTTCTGGCGATCCTTGCCCATGGAGCCCATGGGTCTCATACTTAAAATGCCACATACAAGAGTCATGTCAACTCTCTTGATTCCAATTGTTCAAGTTAGAACGTTACTTTGTTGAGACAGGGTCTTACTACATAGTCCGTCCTGGTTGGCCTTAAACTTAAAGTCTTCCCATTTCTGCTTCCCGGGTGCTGGGACAGGCATGTGCCACCCTGCCTGGCTACATCTTCACTTTCAACAGCCACCTTACAGTGAGTACAGAATGCAGCTGTGGCCTGGCGCTCTCAGCAAAGGCGATGGTTGCAGACAGCTCTGCTCTGGGAGCAGTAGGGCCTGAGACTGACAGCCCTTGCTGGTGCCTTACTGTTGGAATCCTAATGACCGCCGCGCAGAGGACAGAGGGTAGAGGACGGTCCAGGTGGACGGACCGCACAAGTGGAAGGAAAGGGGGAGGGCATCACAGGGCTTGCGGGCTAGGGTGTGAGCTCTGCAGCCAGGCAGCTGTTGCCTGTCATCTCTGCCTTCTAGTGTGGCAAGCTGTGTGACTTCAGTTTCCTGCTCAGCAAGAAGGTGACATGGAGACTCCCTAATTCTGAGATGAAATGATACAATGTATATGGATACGAAATATTCACAAAAGTGCCTTATTTTTTAAAAAGTATCTTTTAATCATGCCTGCTAGCCAGTATCTGTTAAATCACATGACTCACTGTGAGAGTGAAATGATACAATGTATACAGATCTAGAGCTTTCAAGAAAGTGCCTTATTTTCAAATCATCTTTTAATCATGGCTGCTAGCCAATATCGGTTACATCACATGACTCACCACAGATGTCATAAGGCAAACTATCTTAGGTGTTGGTAGGAGATATTTTGGGCAAGATTTAAGTGATAGGTTTGGTCAAAAAAAACCAGCATCATTAAAACTGCACATGAAACAAATGATTACTTCCTTTTTATCCTCCCTGCCACAGAAACAGCCCTGGCTGATGAAGGTTCCTTCTCATGGGGCAACCAAACAAACATTACAGGTTATTGCTCCTTAGCAGAGATGGCCACAAGATAGGGACAGATCCACCTCATTAACATAACAGTAAGGACACTCTGAAGGCTGAGTGCAGGCATGTCTGTGACTGTTACCATTCCATGCTTAGTAGATCCACAATGGAAAACAAAAGCAGCAGCTATTTGATTTTGGAAAGATGGTGAAGGTAGGATAAACACTCAGCTTGTTGACATGTATGTGTGATGCTGGGTATGTTGGCACAGACCTGTAATCTGAGCACTCAGGAGACTGAGGCAGGACGATGGAGAGTTCATGGCACGATACTGTCTTAAAAACAAACGAAAATCTCATGTGGTATAAGTACTGCACCTGTCAGAAATGCCGATTTCGGAGGTCTGCGGATTTGGGGAGATTAACACAGCCTTTACTAGTTGAGCGTCACCTAACTCGAAATCCTAAGTGCAAAATGTTCCAAATCTGAAACTTTTGAGCAGATTTGTAGTATCTCTTTTGTATTTTCAGATTAAAGATATTTGATCTGGACTCATCGCTTCTCATCAAATAATTTGCTAAGTAAAAATAAAACTGACTAGAAACAGTAGGTATAAACATATTTATACCTATCATATGTCTATCTACCTATCCATGTTTCTATGACAGTTATCTATATATAAGCATACAGTCTGTCTACTTATGTATCTATCACCGGTAACATGCTGGTTTCCTCTGCTCATAGTAACATATGTCGATATAACTCATGATTAGTTAAAATGGTTATCTTTTTTTTTTCTCTTTTTCTTTTCTTCTTTCTTTTTTGGTAAGACAGGAAAGAAACTTAAATTCATATAAAGAATACATGGCAGGGGCTGGAGAGATGTCTCAGTGACTAAGAGCATACACCACTGTAGCAGAGGACTTATGTTCAGTTCCCAGCACTCATGTCTACCTGAAACTTCAGCTCTAGGAGATCTGATGCCTTCCTCTCACCTCTGTGGACATTGCCCTCAGGTGCACTTTACACATACACACGCACACACACACACACACACACACACGCATGCACGCACACACACACACGCATGCACGCGCACACACACACACTAAATCTTAAGCATTCAAGGCAGCTGAGTGTGGTGCTCACACTACAACTTCAGCAGTTGGAAGATGGAGGATCAGGAGTTCAGGGATAGCCAAGGCTACAGAGGGAGTCTGAGGCAATCCTGATCAGTATGAGGCACTGTACCAAAAGACTACGAGACATAATAAATGATATATGAAGAAACAACTGACCCTTAAAAACAACCAAACAAACAACGATCAGTTACTGACCTCATCACCCATATGAGACTGAAACTCAAACTTCATTGGTGGACAGAAGGCAGCAGGGTACATCTCCATGAATCTCTGCTTGTCACTCCTTGGCTCTAAATTGTCAACAGCATTTTCAATAATGTCTAAGCCTTCATGTCTGGAGGTTTCAAGGTTGTACTCTGCCGAGAGATACGTTCTGAGGGCTCTGTTCAGACTTGCATGGTAGCCAAGATCACAGCACTTGAGAATATACAAGAACACAATATATAAGAACACAGATATAAATATTAATTCAAAACTGATTAAAGACCCAAATGTGTGACCTATGAGCATAAGACTCAGACAATCATGACATTGGATTAGGCACAGTTTTCTTGGATGTGACATTAAAAGCATATGACCAACCAAATGAAAGTCTATTTGGAACCCATCAACATTTATATCTTTCATGATTTAAAAGACACTGTAATAAAACCTGAAAGGACAGACCAGAATGAGAAAAATGTTTGTAAAGGAATGTGAGTCTAAATATATAAAGAACTCCCGCAACTCAATAACTCAAATTGTCTAAGTAGAAGAAAGGCAGTGTCTCTGAATAGAGACCAGAGAAGATAGAGAGAGGGTTGGTAAGGGTATTAAAACATGCTAGAGATCTCTGGTTATCTGGGAAACAGAGAAAAAGATAACCAGAGGAGGCTGGCCCTCACTCGGCAGTAATGAGCACTTGCTGCTTTTGCAAAGGATCTGGAATTAATTAGCAGCACACACGTGGTGGCTCACAATCATTTGTTAACTCCAGTCCCAGGGGATCTGATGCCCTCTTCTGGCTTCCGTGGGTACTGTATACACATGGTGCACAAACACATATAAAGGCAAAACCACCCATACACATAAAAATGGATACATCTTAAAAACAAAAAACAAAACAAAACAAAAAGACAGAGAAACTAGCTCACACACATCAACATGGATATTCAGAATGGTAGATGACAATGAGTACTGGAAGGATGTGGATAAATCAGAACCCTCATACACTGTTGGTGGGAGCGTAAAGTGGTACAGTCACTTTGTAAACAGTTTCTCAAAAGGTTAAACACACTGTTATTCTAAGACTCCAGGCTGGGCAGGTGGCTCAGTGGGTAACAGCACCAGGCTGCACAAGCAGAAGGATCCAACTTCATACCCCAGCACATGTGAAAACTACAGTGTGGCTGTGCATGCCCGTAACCATTGCACTGTGAGTGTGCAGAGACAGAACACAAGCTAGAGCCAGTAGCTCTGGGTTCAGTGGACACTTTGGCTCAAAGGAAGTGGATGGAGAGTGACAGGTAATGTGTCCCCATGCATATATAGCACACATATACAACACACACACACACACACACGTTGCATGCATACACACATGCTCACAACTCAGCATTTTTCCCTAGGTACAGATATAATAAAAAGAAAAATAACTTGGACTTGGATATTTATAGCAGCTTTAATCACAACAACCCGGAACAATGTAAATGCCTACCAATCAATGAATAGACAAATTGTCATATAGCCATCCATTGGAATAGTATTCAGCTAACGGAACAAAATTAAAAAAATAAAAAGGAACCAAATCTGAATCCATGTTACAACATGGAGGAACTTTTAAAATATGATGCTATGTCAAAGAAGCCAGTCACAAAGAACTATGCATTGTGTGAATCCATTTATGTAATGCATAAGAACAGATACATCTAGAGACAGGAGATACGTCGTGGCTGTATCATGATGGAGGATGGAAGAATTGAGGTGGGTGGTGAATGCTGAGGGGTGGGCAGAATTAATTTTTTTAGGGGTAACAAAAATGTTCTAAAATTGATTGTAGTGACGGGTACACAGCTCTCTAAATGTACCACATGCCAACAGTAGACTACTGTTGCGTGAGCGGAGTGGTATGTGAATTATACATAATAAAGCTTTCAAAAATGTAATGGCAGAGCCCAACAGCGGAAGGAAACAATAAGGTATAGTATCCAAGTTTCATTCACTCAATGCTGTGACTGATACAGCAATTTATTCAAATCCTTCTAGGAGACAAATAGGCTAAGTGGGATTCCAGATTTGCATATTTTATTGACGACTTGAGACTAATCAGAATTGTAGAGGGGAACAGGCTTGAGTCTGTCAAAACATTCAGAAATGCCTTCCCTTTAACTCCCAGCATAAAATTCTTAAATAGGGATGGCTGCTAAAGTCCTCTTAATATAGACAAGATTTGTTTCATATTCGTAGGAATTAAAGAGCTTTGAGAGGGCCGGATAGGTGTTTCAGTAGTTAGTAGCACCTAGTGCTCTTGCAGAGGATTGGGGTTCAAGTCCCAGCATCTACCTGGGTGGTTCACAACCGCCTGGAGCTCCAACTCCAGGGGAATCCCACGCCATTGGCTGCCATGAGCACCTGTACTCACACACACACACCTCCACACCGACATAGTTACATAGTTAAAAATAAAGGTAGTTTTTAAGGAAAGAGCTCTGAGGTCCCCCCACCCCACCCTGAGTCTTTATTGCCTTTACCTTTGTTCAACCCTCACGCATTTTAAGGAAATATGATGTTAAAAGTATGTAAGCCTGGAAATGAGCCAGCAATTACTGACAACAGAATTTGTTACATAAAAAAGAAAGGATAAATTCCTTAAAGAAGAAACACAACATTTTAAATAGACAAAACCAGGTCATCTCCATATTGCTCTAATGAAGTCAATCAACTCAGCTTGATTCAATTCAAATCATGAATTGGCCAGGTGCCAGGGACTGCACTAGGCTCCAGGCACATTAAAGCTGGGACATGGTGAAACACTTCCCATTCTCAAGGAAATGGGACTGAAGCTGTTCATTGATTGGCTGCTAAGATGGAGAAGACGGGGCATATGGGAGGCAGCCCTGGCACAGAGCAGGTCCTCCAGGCTATGATGCATCAGCCGTTGCAAAAAGGGACATATTGAATTACATGCACTTAGAAATGCCAAATGCCAGGCTGGAGGCATGGCTGGCTAAGCATGCCCAAGGCCCAGGTGTGTTTCCCCAGGACTGCAACCCAAAGTTCGTACCTCCGCTTTCAATTTCCAAATTATTAAAATAGGGTCTTTAAAACGCAGTTCTTTTGAAATTCTGCTACTCAAGATGAGATCAGCTGCAATAGCTTCACGAGGGGGCTTGCTAGAAATGCAGAATATGCCGGGTGGTGGTGGACACACACGCCTTTAGTCCCAGCACTAGGGAGGCAGAGGCAGGTGGAGCTCTGTGAGTTCAAAGCCACCCTGATCTACAGAGCGAGTTTCAGGACAGCCAAGGGTATAAAGAGAAAGTCTGTCTAAAAAAAAAAAAAACAAACAAACAGCAATAACAAACAAACAAAAAACAGGAAGAAAGAAAGAAAGGAAGGAAGGCAGGCAGGCAGGCAGAAGACTGGGCTTGGGATCTGACTCAGCTTGCTGCCAAGCCCGAGGATCTGAGTTTGAGCCCCAGGACCCACACATGGAAGACAGAACTGACTCCCACAGGCTAGTTTCTGAATTCCACATGCTATCTATGGCCTGTGCTCCCACACATCCGTACCAAATCACATAGGAAAAATACTTAGAAACCCTTTAAAATGCAGAATATCTGGTCCTACACCTGACCTGCTAATCTGGAATCTGCAGTTCAGGAAGGATGTATAATTGAATAATTAAAACACTGGAGACACTCCCCCAGAGCACTCCAATGATAGGGTCTCATGACCATGCCCTTTGGGGGGTGCTGTTTCCCCAAACTGACAAGAGGATTTGATAATACGATTTGATTTACAAAATCAGAAAACAGCTATGATGTCACAATGACAAACAATACAATTGGGAAGTGCAGCAATTGGCTCACCATCATTTATCTCCCGTGGAATCAGCTGCACCCAAATACAGAGAATGGCTCATTTTGATTAATTTGGAAATTCTAGTCTCCAATGAACAAAGACTTTTTGTTCCTCTTGCTTCTCCCAATCCATAATGGCTCCCTACAGCTTTGTATACATCAAAGGGATTGAAAAGTTCATTCTATCTTTCAATAACATCTTATTTTATAAAGACACGGGTTTGTAAAGGAAACGGACCTCATTTCTCTAACAGGTATTAGTGTTTAAAAACAGCCCACTATTCAAAAAGAAGACAGGCTCTTCTACCTGATTATAAGGAAACAAGGAGACCTGCTGCTTTATTTTATAAGTATTGATCTGGGTGGGAGAGTTAATAAAAAAGATGAAATAGAAAGAAGCAATGGAGAATGGCCTTTTATTCCTTACATGACCAGTGTTTCTTACAACCTAAAAGGGGAAGGATGAATGGCAGAAGGAAAAGGGGAAGGGAGGGAGAGGAAGAGAGAGAGGAGGAAGGGAGAAGGAAGGAAGGGAGGCAGGAAAAGAAAGAAGGGGAAAAAGGGGGAGAGGCCGAGAGAATTCTAACCCAACTGACTGGGTGCTTTGAAGAACACCTACTAAGTTTCCGTTATTCCCGACTTGAACACTTCACTCCATGAAATGACTAAAGCCTGGGGTGTTTTCTATTCCTAGAACAGCCACGTGGATTCTATCAGCATGTGATCTGGCTTCACCATGTCTTCTGAATGGGTTAGTGAAGCAGACATGTGCCTCAGCCACCCATCTCCTGGCCACGAAGGCACTTCCGGTCTTGCCCTCCCTCCTGTGTTCAGGTGACTTTTGACAGGGTGCTCATCAGCTTGAAAAGTCACCTCGTTGTCTCGATTTTGTTACATCTGTTATGTAGCATTTCCAAATTCTAGGTTTCTCAAGCATCTTGAACTTAGAAGAAAGAACAAACAGGAAGGAAAAGCTCTTCAAGGTTCCCTGAGAGCAAGCCTAGCCACAGAAGTCTCCTTTTTCTAAACCAGAAGCTGAAATGACATTGGATATGTTAGGACTGAAGATATTTGGTTAAAGAAGGTCTCAAGTAATTCTGTGGGGCTTATGAATTATTAATGAATATGAAAGGCTTCTGCACGAAGAGCTTGAGTGGTAGCCCAAGCACATTTAATAATGGAAGCACAGGAAACCAATAAACTATTTCATTCAAACAAAGCATCACGATTTGGGAAGATTAAGAAAAACTCTTGATGAATACATAAAATTATGAACCAAAAATCGGGAGAGTAAAGACTGCAGAAATCAAAAGTGTACATTAAAAGAAAAAAATCCTAAGAACCGACAAGATCCAA